GGGGCGGGGGGGAGGGCTGCAGGGGGTTCCAAAAGTATAGTAGGGATAGTGAGGTCCAGGAACCAGTTTTGAAAGGACTCTCCAGTGGGGCTTCCAAACTGACTTGAGGTTGAGACTGGGACCGAGGGGCCTTGGGTGGGAGTGAGTATGGACTTGGTTAGTGCCGGAGGGGCCATCCAAGGAAGTGCTCAAGAGCAGCTCCCACTCCCGAAAGGGAAACCGATTGCGGTGCTCCCGGTTCATGTGGAGTGGTGCCCCACTTGAGTACCATGCGGCTCATTGGTCCTCGCCCTTCCTAGGGGCTTGGACCTTCCTTTCGGGATGGAAGTGGGGGGGTAGAGGTACCCATACCGAGCCGTTAAGCCACGGTTTTTCGCCCCGACATCCCGAAGCAAGTGTTGCACCCAAGGCTTGGGATTTAGAGGGTCCCATGATCAAGTCTTGTTGTACCAAGGGGTGTTAGGAACCTGGAGGCTTGGTGTGCTTGGCTGCTTGTGCCTGCGGGGAGTGTAGCCGAACCTTAAGTTCAGTCTAACTCGGGGAGGGGGATTGGGAGAGATTTGGGAATCTGTAGACGGATGGCTAACACTCCGTTGCTCGTGCAGTGAGTAGCTGAACCCAAGTAGGACCAAGTAGGAGCTGGTACAATAGGCGAGAACCTTGGCACGGGAACTTAGCACAAGCTAAGGCAGTGTTGGTCGGATAGACGAGGTAAGCTGGCAAATTGGAAAGGAAAAATTTATGGCTTACATCAATATACAAAGTGATAGGACTTAGACCAATTCAACTAGCACTCTTTAAAGTCAAAATGGCTAACAACAAAAATGTACAACTATTTAAAACTATCCACAACATTTTCATCAAAATCAAAAATCAAGAGTTTAAAGAGACTTTCATCATACTCAAGATGGCTAAAGAATATTGTTCCTATGAAGTACTTCTTGGATGAACTTGGCTCAAGATAGTTAATGTTGTCATATACTAGCAGAAGAACACAATTACCTTTGGAAAGCATCAAGAAGCCCCTTAAATCTCCACAAGTACAACAAAGAAAATTCCAAAGAAATTTTAACCAACTATTATTCAACATTATGATTGAAATTGTAAGGAACCAACTCCCCGAGGTGTTGTAAGCTAAAAAATCCCCAAAAGCACGACCAAAATAATAAAGAGTTCATCGAATGAGATTGAGTCCGAGATTGAGTTCGAGACCGAGTCCAAGATTGAGCCCAAGACCAATTCCAAGACCGAGTTCGCGACCGAGTCCGAGACCAAGTTTGAGACCAAGTCTGAGATCCAAGATCAGGTCCAAGGCCAAGTCCGAGATCGAGTTCGAAACAAAGTTCGAGGTCGGGTCCAAGATCGAGTCTAAGATCAAGTCCGAGATCGAGCTTGAAACCGAGTCCGAATACTAATACAAATCGTGGGGTGAAAGCCAAAGCATGTGTCTCCCGGGGGGGGCTACAAGGGGTTCCAAAAGTATAGTATGGATAGTGAGGTCCAAGAATTAGTCTTGAAGGAACTCTTCAATAATGCTTCTAAACTGACTTAAGGTTAAGATTGGGCTGAAGGACTTTATGAGCATAGACTCAGGTGGTGCCGGAGGGGCCACCCAAGGAAGTGTTCAAGAGCAGCTCCCACTCCTAGAAGGAAAACCAACTGCAATGCTCCTGGCTCATATGGAGTGGTGCCTCACTTGAGTACCTTGCAACTCATTGGTCCTTGCCCTTCCTAGGGGCTTGGGCTTTCCCTTGGGATGGAAGTAGGGGAGTAGAGGTATTTATACCAAGCTGTTAAACCACAATGTTTCCCTTTGCTATCCCAAAGCAAATATTGCACCCAAGGCTTGGGATTTAGGGGGTCTTATGATCAAGTCTTATTGTATCAAGGGATGTTAGAAACTTGGTGGTTTGGTGCATTTGGCTATTTATGCCTACAGGGAGTGTAGCCGAACCTTAAATTCAATCTAACCCAGGGAAAGGGATTAAAAGAGATTTGGTAATCTGTGGATGGATAGTTAATGCTCCGTTGCTTGTGCAATGAGTAATTAAAACTAAGTAGGACTAAATAGGATCTGGTACAATAGGCAGGAACTTTAACAAGGGAACTTAGCTATGGCCAAAGCAGTGTTAGTTGGATATATGAGGTAAATTAGCAAATTGGAAAAGAAAAACTTGTGACTTATAGAAATAAAAGCCTCAACGACTATGAAAAAGCACAAATCATAAAGCCAGACCTAGTATTAAAGTCCCTTGTCAAAGTTGATATCAACTAAGTTATTCCAAAGCCCAATTCAATTTGCTCAACAAAACTTGAAACTCAAGAAACTCACATTAAGGAAAAACTTCTAACTTGAGAAAATTCAACACTTAAGATTATATCAACAAAGATAAAAATGTCAACCCTTAACCGATTAAAAAAGGGGGTGCATTATTATTCAAATTCTATGGATTATTTCTCAAATCATTATCTTTGGTTGCTTATAACTTCCCATTGATGAAGATTAAGTAACATTGATTCCATGCATGAAGGGACTCCACTAAAGTGTATCAAGGTACTTGAAAACTACAACAATGGAAATTCTCTACAAATGAGCAAAGTGATTAACAAAGCCAAGCTGAAATTCAAATTTTTGATCTCCACCTAAGAGATGTGCAAGTCCATGACTTCTACTGGTAAAGCGATTATAATTCTTTATGACGACTTGTAGTAGAAGACACATTGCAAGCTACCTCTGTGACAAGCTCATCAAGGAACTTCACATCACAATGACAATGATCCAAAACAACCTCAAATGCAAAACACTCATCCCTCCATTGCAACACTTATTCTGAAGCTCAACACCACCATTTTGCTACAAATAAAAGAGATAGCAACAAAACATTGAGGAAAGCCATAAACACAAAGACATCATAAACACGAAGAAAAGGGGAATGCACTTAAGAAAACAAGATGATTTCCCGGATTTATCCTTAAAAAATAAAAAAAAGATAATATTGAAAATGTAAATGACTTTGACTTATAGGGGAGTGTTGAGGTAAGCCATATGACATGTTTATAGTGTGAGTATACACTTTTACATAACCTAATAGAAAACATCACATGATTGGGGAGAAATAACTACACTCCCTTCCAACTTCTTTATGCATTAATGCTGTGCATCTAATCTAGCTCAGGCAACTAGCATTGAAGACCTAGATTCCACTTTGCAGCTCCAACCAGCTCTTGGATCTCAAGGAGACTACAGAGCATGCAACCCTGCACAATTGACTGTACCAGCAGCAACTCATTTGTCAGCAAAGGAAGACACATGGCTCAGCTTTTCAGACAGGGGATCTCATCTGTCTTTAAAATATATGAACCCATCAACCAAAGCTAGAACCAGCTTGGAGCGGCCCATTTCAGGTGAAAAGCATCACTGATGCAAACTTTTTCTTACGTTCAAGTGATAGACGGCCACATCTTGCCTAATCCCTTCAACAGGGTTCATCTTCGATGCTATTACATATAACAGCAGCAACATACACATAGAGGTTATCTAGTTCTTCATTTTTGCTTCACCACGCAGCCCCGTCATGAAGCGTCTCAAATAAAGCTCATGCAGCCAGCATCTATGAGTTTTATTCATATCAAAACACTTCTAACATTCTACAGCAGTGAAGTCCCCTCTTCTTCCTAATGGGTGGAGTGGCGTATTGCTCTAACCTGCCTCTCGATAACCGGGCATATGTTGTAGTTGCATGATCGAGGAGCTTGCCTCGCTCGGCAGAAGAAGACACAGGATCCAGGTATAATTCGGCCAGGAAAAACCCCAGTGCCTGGTACACTTTTCCAGCTCAAGAAGAAGCTCGCTTTGCTCCTTCCAGTCTATACCACTGCTGGAAACGCGCTCGAGAATACCGTATATAGTCCACTGTCTTGCATAAACTGCGTCACCTCACTAGCTGAGGCCGAGCTCTCAGAAGCCAGATATGCCAAGCAGCCGGCAGTGCGCGATACCTGAAGCCTCGGGATCGACTTCGACCTCTAAACGCGAGCTGTTGATGATGAAAGGTTGTGTCAAGTTCTTGGGACAATCGGCCACCGCCTCCTCGCCTTTGATCAGGCTCCGTAGCCGAGTGCTTCGACGTTCATGTGCATGGCTGTCTTCGACTTCTGAGAAGAAGATCATCTGTCAGCTTGGCAGAAGTCTCGCTGCTGAGAAGAGAACGCGAGAATTGGCAAGATAGCAGCCGTTCTTCTCTTTGAGCTCCTCACTCTTCAAAACCTTCCCTTGCTGCCTGTTTTGCAGTGACTACTTGATAAGGAAAAGCCAACACGGCTCCTGTAGCGTTAACTTCAAGTACTGCTCCCTCTTTTCCTCTTGGATGTATCCGGGACAACGTCGAGCTTCCTCTTCCGCTGAAACGACAGGTTGGGATGTGCCGGTTCCAAACTGTCCATCCCCGAAATGCCGGTGCCATGGTGCTTGCCTTCAATAACTCTCTTGGTATGAAGCGCGCGAGTGTGCGAAGGATGGAAACGTTTCACGACTGAGATGCAGCCTGTCTCGTCTCCAATGGCGATCAAAACTTCGACAAGTTTCTCCATGCGCCTTGCAACTCCCTGATAGGAAGAACACTATATATTCTTACAGTGTTGCAGAAAAAAGCCATCGCAAGTAAGAACTCAAAGAAGAAATTTCGAAAGCAAAGCTTTCACCAAGTGTTTGAAGTCACCTGTGATTTGATCGACAAAGGATCTTGGGTGATCGCCTGGAAGGTCCCCGCTTTGTGGAGATGAGACTCCTGCGCAGAGAGAAAGCCGCTTCTAACCTGCACTTCTTTTGTGGGGGCGAAGGCTCCAATCGGCTTCTACTCTCGTTGATAGATCGCATACAGGTGTCACGCAGAGAATCGTCGTCGCTCTACGGGAGCTCCCAAAAACCCTAATTGATTGAAGAGAGACCAAGGGGAAAGAAATGTATCGCATCGCAGGCGTTTCCCGCATGATCCGGAAGCGGCAGCGCCGAGAGTCTCCGCCAAAGCTCTTTTCTTCCCGAGCGCACTTGCCCATGGGCACGCACTTGCCACGGGCACGCTTGCCCACGGCGGCAACTGCTGGCAAAGAGATTTCAAAGAAGCGAATGGAAGACGAGAAGACGTGGGTGTGGAACTGCGTCATCAGAGACTACGGCATGCTTGGCCGAGTCGAGTGCGCTCGAGAGGCATTTCTGCAGTGTCCAGCTAGGAACTTCCTGACCTGGAAGCTCCTTGCTGACGCATATGCCCACAAGGGGCATTACGGGAAAGTGCTAGAGATTGAAGACAAGATCCCGGCTGTGATGTATCAGCTTGCTCCGCCTCCTCCTTCTCCAGCATCCATCTTTGATGCTGTTTCTCTGTACCAGAAAGGCAAGAGGTTGGCAGCATGGGAACTTCTTCAAGTGTTTTGCCATGAGGGAAATGGAAGGAAGCTTCTTTTTTCGGCATTGGGCAAATACAAGACAGTTTCTATGCTTCTTGTGTTCACTTCCCTCTTGACTTATGGCGATGCCCAGCTTTTCAAGCTAATTCGGACCATGCTAAAAGAATCTTCACTGACTGAAGAAAGCCTCATCCATCTAGCATGCTGCCAGGGCAAGAAAGAAGTCAAGCGCCTCGAAGACTATTATCACGGCCTTCATCTGTCGAAGACTCGGGGCGTTCCAGTCACTCAAGGTGTTTCAGGCGTTCCAGCGGAAGCTACGCGAACTGCGCAGGAACCAGCCACTGAGGGCGTTCCAGTGGAAGCTCCGCGAGCTGCGAAGGAACCAGTCACTCAGGGCGTCGTAGTCACTCAGGGTGTTCCAATGGAACCAGCCACTCAGGGCGTTCCAATGGAAGCGCGAGCTGCGCGTGAGCGTCTCGAGGCTTTGTACATCAAGGCCTTATTCTGTGTGTTTGGCGAGGATATGCGGCTAAAGCTGAAGGCTCTGAAGACGCTCAGAGCAATGCGAATTGCTGGAGCTCACTGTGGGGACTTACTGCTGGGACAAGGAAAAAGCCGAGCAGATAACTACGCAAAGACACTGGCAATCCATGCCATATCAGAGGCGGAGCAGCTGATGGCTCTTGGTGACGTGCCTAAAGAGTGCCGGCCATTCGTGAACGCTCTCAGGAGTGTCCTTGCAAAGCTGAGAGACGACGGTGTCATATGCTAGGACCCGGGGCTTGTGAATGTACAGTTTTTTACGATGCGACGACAACGTTATAGTAGGATTTTAACCTAGTAACCGACATCCCCGACTCTTCTATGATGCTATGATGGCTGAGCATGGTGTCAGTGCCTCTAGCCTACGTTGTAAGTTTTTGCGAAACAGGCGGCGCTGACACCAGCTCAGGTGCATTCGTGGTTATTATCGTCTGGACAAGTCTAGCTTTGGGCCGGTCTCACTGTGCCTCTCCAGTTCCCGGCACGGCACTCGTATGGCATCAATAAGGTCGCGTTTCTGACCGGAACATGTCCTGAGAGATATCAATGTTTCGGTTACGAAAGCTGGGCTGGTGAAGTAGCCACTGCCGGAGGAGAGCTTCAGCGCGGTCACTCCGGAGGGACTTGCCAGTGTTGAAGGGGCCTTGCCTGGAAATGCGTTGGTCAGGGCTGGAGTGATCGGGCTCTCTGTTCAAGGCAGTCCTTGAGATTTGGAAACTTCGAACGTACGGTGTTCGTGGCATCTTCACCTCCTCGAGCTCGATATCTAGATGAGGGGCAGCCGCGCGTGGAAGTCCTCAGCGCTGGGAACTCCAAGGAGGCATGAGCGTGGCAGAAGTGGAACGGATCTAGCACGATTGGTGTGTGCAGGAAGCACTCTTTTTCCTTTTCTCTGTTTTGCTTACTATAATATATCTAACGCTTGAAACTAACCAAAACCTAACTAGACCTCAGACCTCTCCACGTGGACAAGTTTGCAACCAAAGTTCTAGACATGGAGGGAGCTAGAATGCCAAGTTCATCACAATTGCGCTGCCTATCAACATAAGTCCATCAGCATATACCGCGGCGACACATCCTCAAATCGCCTGGGCTCGCACCTCCTCACCACGATCTTCTGCACTGCTCCACGGTTCCCATGAAACCTCCATACTCCCGCAACCGTATTCCTTGGTCCACTCCACCAGCTGGTTATACACGTCGGGCTCGTAGCAGCTGTTCGCCGAGAAATCCATTTCCCATGGCCTCTCCCGCAGCATGCACATGGTGCTCGAAGCTCCCCAGCCGGACACTCCCGTGCAAACATCAGAGCAGTAGCAGCAGCAGCAGGACTATTATCACTTCCCTTCCCCGATGTGATTCATCTCTTGCGCATCCAAACAAATCCTGCTCCATACGCTCCAACTTTCCACGGACGAGCTCGGCCAAACTTGGGCATTTACATCAGCCGCTTGACGTCCCGCTTGACGTCTTCCTGCGGCACACCCTGAAAGCTCCAAGTTCTCAGCTCCTCGTCGTCTCCGCTGCAAGCGCTTCCTGGTGATAGCGAAGGATCATCGTCGGGTTTCAGGAAAACTCCAGCACAAGATGGCAAAGTTGGCGGCTTGATATAAGCATCCCGAGCACTTTGAACTCGTGCGATTGCATAGCATCGGTGCACTTGCCCATTTCCAACAATATCCATTTGTCCATCTTGATACTAAATCCTTTCTTTGATTGCCAGCGAGCACACCGGTAGACCCAATGAAAGCAAGCCCAGAAAGTCCACCCGGCATCCCTTTCGATGCTGCTGCTTCTTAGAGCATTATTTTCCTGGTCCCAGTCAACTTCAGAGCCGACCACTCGAGAACCCGGCATATGCTGTAGGTGCAGTGATCGAGGAGCTTGCCTGGCTCGGAAGAAGAAGACGCAACATCGAAGTATAACTCGACCAGGAAGAGATTGGACCTGGAACTCCTGCCATTCCCAGTGCCTGGTATACTTATCCAGCTCGAGAAGAAGCTCGTGCTGGCCTGCTGGAAACCAACTCGAGAATACCGTGTCCAACGTGATATAGTCCACTGTTGTTCTCGTAGTCTTTCATGAACTGCGTCACCTCTCCATAGTGGCGCAAGAGGCCGATCTCTCGGGACAATTGGCCACCGCCTCCTCAGTCGAATTCTTGAGTCATCCATCCGTTGTAGCTTTCGCATATATCTTCACAAGATAACAAGCTGACAGTTAACCTGTGGTGGCTGCGACACTGTCTTTGTTGCGGAGAGTGCATGAACGTCGAAGCGTCATAGCCAAATATACATAATAAGCAGTACACCTGGATCAGTGAGGTGGCGCTACTGCCACTTAGGATCATGTCATAGAGAGCATATATACTTTACATCTTGCCAATTCTCTCGCGTTCTCTTCCCGGTGCAAGGTCCAGATGAGAAGTGGAGAGAGTTCTGCCTCCTCGTCCCAGTTCGACGCGTGAGCCCTCGTCTTGAGTGAAAAGGATTTCGCATTCGTTCTTCTCTTTGAGCTACTCGCTCTTCAAAACCTTCCCGTGTTGCCTGTTTTGCAGTGAGGAGAAGCCAAGAAGGCTAGCGTTAGCTGGACCAAATATTGCTTCCTTTTCTTCCTCTTGGATGTATCCGGGACAACGTCGAGCTTCCTCTTTGGTTGAAACGAAAGGTTGGTATGCGTCCATTCCAAACTCTGCAATGCCAGTGCCACGGTGCTTCTCTTCAATAACTCTCTTGTATGGAGAGCAAATTCTTACAGTGTCGTGGGCTGTGCTCAAACGCTTTGCGTGAGATATTGAGCTTTCCAAGTGAGCAGGTGGATTCCAAAGGACGACATCCTTCGATCCCCAAAGCCTTCCTCTGGCTATGTCAGAAAACATGATCAAAGGCAAGCTTTTTTTTTCACTCACATTGCAACTTTCCGCCAAAGAAACAAACAAATTCACCATAAGAACTCACGAGTGTTCGAAGTTACCTGTGATTTGGATCTTGGATGATCGCCTGGAAGAGACTCTGCGCATTTGCCAGATCCCACTTGACAGGGCATCTTTGTAGAGCTTCGGGCTCCAGCTCCATTGAGCCATGATCTGCAGCAGGTATTGGCACATTTCTCAAATGGAGATTGGTCATTGCTTCAGACGGCCTAGACGTAGTGATCATGCACCACATTAATTCTTGACGTCACAATCCAAGCTCAATTCATCTAGCAACGTCGCTACCACAAGCACCTAGAAGATTATTGCAAATGACAGTCCCTCCCAAGCATGGAGGAACACACTACTTGTGTACTTCTTTACCTCAAGGCGAGAAATTTTATAGCTTCTAGCTTGGTGCATGGCGTGTGTTCGATACTGCTCTTGACCAAAAATGCGCTCAACATCTTATAAATCTCTGTATCATGAATCATCGATCATCTCTCTCCACCGAAACTGATCCGGTAGAGCAAGTCCATCAGCATATAACTGGCGGCGGCTACTCCTCATGTGTCTAAACATCCCTCTCTCTTCCTCAAAATCAATGGGCTCACACCTCCTCGCCACGATCTCCTGCGCTGCTCTCTCCTGCGCCTTGTAATCCCGCAGCAGCTGCTCAATGTGCGCCACCTCAAACCTGAAGAGATTCACGCAGCAATCCGGTTCCCAACCCGTGTAATCTTTAATCTCAATCTCGCGATGGTACTCCTTTGCACCCTCGATCCACTCCACCAGCTGGTTATACACGTCGGGCTCGTAGCAGCTGTTCGCCGAGAAATCCATTTCCCCTGGCCTCTCCTGCAACAGCTTGCTGCACAGCAAGTCGTCCTCGAGCTCCTCGAGCTCCTGGAGCTCCTCAACCATCCGGGCTTCAAACCGCAGCATCACTTCCCTCGTCCTATCAATGTCGCTTGCACATCTGAACAAATCCTGCTCCGCCCAGCATGCCATTCGCTCCTTAAACTCTCTAGCACCTGGAGTGGATTTGGAAAACACATTGGACGGTGTCAACCCTCGTTTCCACGGTGATCTCTGGATGACCTTCACCAGCGAATTGCTAAACTTGGGCATTTGCATCTGCCGCTTGACGTCCCGCTTGACTTTAGCGCGTACTGCTTTCACGAGATCTCGGTGCGTTTTCTCACCCAAGCTATGCACGCCAGAGCGGAGGTTGGCGTAAAAGATACCAAAATAGGGGCCCTCCATACTATAGAGGGGAAAGGGATCATAATAGTCATCGATCACCTCGACTCTGGCGGTGGACATGTCGACTTCTGCGGCGTTGCAGGCTTGATCCCACACGCGACACAATCGAAGGTCCAGCCTCCGCACCACAGTGCTCACAACGCTCAGATAAGCATTCCGTCCCATCAGAACCTACCCTAGTCCTAATTGCCTAATTGAATTTTGAGCTTTTGCGTGAGAGAAAAATTCAAATCCTGTTGCTGCCTTGAGAAACGCAATTTGAACAAACACACCTTGGGCTCATTGCTGCTGCTCACAAGCCGAGCGAGCAATCCTAAACTTGCATACAGATGACAGCTATTTTCTATGCTTTCTTTTCACTGCCCTTTATCGGCCAAAATATCAACCCCATTTTTCCTGAAATCACTGAACGCGATCCATGCAGGAGAACATTTACTCTATCTATTTATTTATCTATATTCTGTGTTGATAGTCTCGCACTTTGAAGCATGAGACTGATGGATGCATAATGCAAGGGTTTGTGAGCTTTGCTAATGATGCTCGCTACTCCATGCTTCATACAATCTTCAAGCTCCAAGCTCTTCAGAAGTTGTAGACTTTACCTTGTTCTTGGTCTTCCTAGCTCTTCTTGGTTTCAGTGCTCTTGACCTCTCTTTGTTCTATAACTTCTCTTGGCAATAATCTTTTGGCAAATTATTGGCTTGAAAGTTGAGTTGCCTTTGTCCACTTGTTTCTTCTTACTCGGGTTTATGGCTTGATTGTAGTACTTGACCTTGTCAGTTGCAACCTGCTTCCGAAGTTGCACAAGATGCGAAGAGTACATTCCATCGTAAGTAACACAAAGCTAGGCAAAGCCTTCACTGAAGAGATCGCATATATGGTACTCGATTTATACCAACTCGCAATCAAGAAGCGAGGTTGCAATTGTGATCGTAAAGCCATGGAATCTTCATAGATGAGCGGACGATAACCCTCCTTGACACTCTGCCTGGACACGAAGTAAAGTCCAGCAGCATCGCCTTGCGTGACACTTCCCCATCACAACTAATGAGGCAGAGCTGGAGAAGGTTCTGGGGCTCCTTCCGGAACATTGGTTGACTAAAAGTTGCAACTACACACCATCGTGAAAGGAAATGCTGCCAGTTAATTTGTTCTAGTTTTTCCACCAGCCATACCACATTGAAGTTTCTATAGTCAAATATTTCATGTTTCTCTTTCTTGCAGGCTATCTGGAGTTATTCACTGTGTACAATAATCGCAACATAATGGATTTCCAACGCTACCTCACCAGCCATTTCAGAAATGTAGAAGTGAATCTAACTTGTCTACAAAGACTCACAGCTGAACGGTCTGCGCGATCTCTTTTAAAGGGTAAGGTACGTTTGGAGAATGCCCAGCTGAAATGGTTTCATACCCTCGCTCACTTGTTTTACAGACCCAAGATTTAAATTAGAAGGATGCCAGAAACAGTACAAAACGCGGGTTGCTGGTTGAAAGAAGGCCGCTGATGATCCTCAGATTCGCGAGCTGCTTGAGATCCAAGCAAATCTCTTCACATATATTCCTTCGATAATATTCCTCGTCTCTCACGATCTTCTAAATCGGTTCCCTATTATATTGGCGGCGATGGAAGCTCTAGCATTGGCGTTCTCCTGGTTGCGACGCGCTCCAGCACAGGCAAGCACGCAGGCAAGCACGCAGGCAAGCACGCAGGCAAGCACGCAGGCAAGCACACAGGCAACAGGATTGAAGGTCCTCCTTCTTGAGGTGTGTACAGCTCGCTCGTTTCTGTCATTTTTTCTTGTTCCTTGACATTTTTCGCGTGCGGGCAGACTCCTGCCGCAACAGCGGACAAGAAAGCGGAGGGTTTCCCAGCGCAGCTCGAGGCAGTGATTGTCGAGATGTCAGTCTCGATCAGCTGACGTGGCATGTCCACGTGGTCATGAGTCATGTCCCATGTAAAAAGAGTCGGAACACAATGAACGAGCTCATGAGTGTTATGTCCATCCCTTTTTACACCACAACATGGTATCGGATTTCGGGGACGATCCTGGTTGGTTGATTTGACGTTGCTGTCATGGCCGCTTCAACCCCACCACCACCTCCGCCGCCCCCACCACCACCGCCGCTGCCGCTGCCGCCGCCGCCACCGGTTGCTGCTCAAGTTCTCGTGGCTTCCACAGAGAAGGTGGAGAAATTCAGTGGCACGAATTTCTTCACATGGGCGACACGAATCAGGCTGATCCTCTCTGCGAAACGAGCGTGGAACATCGTTGATGGGACTGAGCCTCGTCCCGCTGAGCAGACGCTACAATCAGATTGGGATTTTCGCAATCAGCAAGCCATCACCGTCATTGGCTTGGGATTGAGCGATGAATTCTTGCCGCTGATTGATCTCACCAAGACCGCTGCTGAAATCTGGACGTCGCTTCGCACGATCTTCGTGGCCCAAGCCGCAAATTCTTCCATGCTGCTGAATCAACAATTCTTGGCGCTTCACATGGAAACGGGTGAAACCATTGCTGTGTACGTGGGACGGATTCGAGGGCTAATGGCTGAATTGACTGGTGCTGGGTCTCCTGTCACGGACGATCGCGCCAGGGCGTTGCTGCTTGCAACCGTCACGCCTGCGTTTAGCACGCTCGCATCTGTTCTATCTCACATGGCCATGAACTTTGATCAAGTCGTGGGTGCCCTACGCAAGATGAAGGGGAAGAAAGAAGCGATGCCCTCTGCCAAATCTTCCTTGCTTTATGCTGGCGCTGAGGGAGGATCATCCTCGTCCTCTCAAGCTCAGCCGAACGACACTGGTTTTCGTGGCATTTGTCACTATTGCCACAAACCTGGACACTTGGCGAGGGATTGCAAGAAGAAGAAAGCTGATCGTGCTAAAGCTGCCAAGAACAAAGACAAAGGAAACAAAGACAAGGGCTCTGGGACTCCTCGTAAGCTCTTGATGGCTCGCTCTGCAAGCAGCAGCCACCAGCCCGTGCTCGGACCAGAGCTGTGGCTGGATTCTGGAGCGTCATTCCATATGACGCCCATGGCTTCCTTGTTTTTTGACTACCAAGAACCGTGTGAGAGTGACGCCGTGGGACTCGGTGACTCCTCTGCTCACGACGTACTAGGCAAAGGAACAATCAGGGTTCAGCTCTCTTCTGGAGAAATCCGGGAGATCTATCCTGTATCTTATGTTCCGGGACTTACACACACGCTGCTGTCGATTGGAACTGCTGCTCAAGTAGGCTTCGATACTCTGTTCACAGCACAGGGAGCGTTCGTGCTGGATGCCGAGACTGGAGACAAGGTCGCCTTTGGAGTTCCAGTTGATACGCTCTACCGCCTGGATGCTCACGTGATCCTTTCACCTGTGGCGCTGATGGCTCGGGTTCCACCGACACTTGCAACCTGGCACCAGCGCCTTGGTCACGTGAACGAGCAACAGCTAAAAAAGGTGGATGTTCCTGTGGCGCCTGGGAGCGTGCTGCTTCTGCGAAGCTTGTGTTGGTGGAAAACACCACGTTTTTCCTTTTCCACAGATTTCTCATTCTCGAGCAAGTTCTGTTCTTGAGTTGGTACGTTTGTTTGATTATGGTTGAATCTTTGGGAGGCAAACGTTACGTAGTCACCTTTCTGGATGATTACACGCGGTACCTGATCGTGTACCTGCTGGCTCATAAATCAGAAGTGTTCTCCTGTTTTAGCCAATACAAGGCTTTGGCAGAAAATCTACACGGCTGTTTAGTTCGTGTGCTCCGCTGCGATCGTGGAGGAGAATTCGTCTCTGGCGAATTCGAGAAGTTTTGTGCTGAAGCTGGGATTCAGCGCCAGTATGCTGTCCCTGATGCACATGCCCAGAATGGTGCTGCCGAGAGGGTGAATCGCACCATCATAGAAGCTGCACGCTGTATGCTGCTTCATGCGGGAATGCCGGCTGCTTTCTGGGGAGAGGCAGTGAACACGGCTGTTTATGTTCGAAACCGGTTGCCAACTCGTGCCCTGCCTGGGAAGACCACTCCTTATGAGCTTTGGACTGGTCACGCACCTGGTTACGATCATCTCCGCATTTTTGGCTGTTTCGCCTATGCACACGTTCCACACAAGCAACACCGAAAGCTAGAGTCAAAGGCTGAGCCATCCATTTTCCTGGGATATTTGGAAGGCATGAAAGGATATCGCTTTTATTCTCTCAAGCGCAAGACTTTGCTGGAAAGACGGGATGTGCTCTTTGATGAGAGCAAGCTGTACAAGGATCGCGCTGAAGTTCCTGCTCCTACTTTCGTGGAACTCCAGCTGGTGGACACAGTTCACGTGACTCCAGCTCCTTCTCAAGTCCAGTTGTTGCCTTTTGCTCCTGCTGGTGATAACCTGGTGGTTCCTCCAGCACTGCCACCATGCCCTCCAGCTACACCTTTGCAAGAATCTCCTCCAATGAGAACACCTAGCTTCTCTGAAGAGCTGATGAACACTTACTTCGAGGGCGACGAGGAATTTCAAGCTGCTCCTGAGTTCTTCCTCGGCTCATCTTCAGTGGGAGCTGGACGTGGATCATCACCTTCAGTGGGCGCTGAAGCAGGTCGCCAACTTCAGTGGGAGCTCTCCCAGACTCTCCACTTGTTCCACCACCTGTGATCCACCCTCCAGCACGTCCTGAACCACGGCGCTCTGCTCGAGTTCCTGTACCATCGAGGCTGCAACTGGAAGCTGAGCAATCTCGTCCCTTCTTTAGTTTTGGAAAAATTAAAAAGAAAGGAACGCACCAGGCTAATTTCGTGGCTGCTAATCCAGAGCGAATCCCCATTCCAGCGAATGTTGACGAGGCATTAGCTGGACCTCATGCTGCCCAGTGGCGAGAAGCCATGAATGTTGAAATGCATTCGCATGAGCGAAACAATACAATGACAAAGACAACTTTACCTGAAGGTGCTCACCTTGTGAGCTCAAAATGGATTTACACAGTCAAGTACAAACCTGATGGAACTGTAGCAAAGTTCAAGGCCAGGTTTGTCGCACGGGGATTCAGCCAGATTCCAGGTTTGGAATACATGGAGTTGTGAAGTTGACCTCTGTGCGAGTGATCCTTGCACTGGCTGCCAAGTACGACCTGGAACTGCACTAGTTGGACGTTCGCACTGCTTTTCTGCACGGCAAGTTGAACGAGGAGGTCTACGTCAAGCAACCACCTGGATTCATCAAACCTGGTGAGGAACATCTTGTTTGCAAGCTGAATCGCGCCCTGTATGGGCTTAAACAATCCCCGAGGGTTTGGTTTGAACGCATTGATGCGTTCTTCAAGAGCCTGGGGTGTGCTCCTCTTGCAGTGGAAGGAAACGTGTACCTGTACAAGTGTGGTGACGATTTTCTCCTGGTTGCTGTGTACGTTGACGACTGCATTCTCGGTGCAAAAACCCGCCACCTGCTGGACGAGATGAAAAAGAAGCTGAGTGACGAATTTGAGATGTCTGACCTGGGCGAGCTTCGCCATTTCCTTGGCATCCAAATTATACGCAATCGAGGAGCACACACCTTGAGTTTGACACAAGCTCACTATGCAAGGGAGATCTTGGAACGCTTCAATATGCTGGACTGCTCTTCCGTGGCCACACCTCTTGAGGTCAATCACAAACTCAGCCGTGACATGGTCCCTGTCACAGAGGAAGAACGCGAGTACATGGCCACGGTGCCATATCGTCAAGCTGTGGGAAGTCTTGTTTATTTGATGCTGGGCACGCGACCAGATCTCGCCTATGCTGTTGGGATGGTCTCCCAGTTCCTCGAGAACCCCGGACCTGCACATTGGCAAGCTGTGAAGCGGATTTTCCGCTACGTTCGAGGTACCTTGCATTTGCAGCTTCACTATGGCGCTGCTGTGTCACAGGAACTTCATGGGTACTCGGATGCGGACTGGGCGGGCGACCAGGACTCAAGGCGCTCTACCTCCGGGTATGCGTTCTTGCTCCATGGGGCTGCTGTGTCCTGGAGCAGTAAGCGCCAGCCGCTGGTGGCTCTGTCCTCGACAGAGGCAGAGTACATTGCCCTAACTGCTGCCAGCAAAGAAGCGATTTGGTTGACCCAGTTCTGCCGTGACCTGCCCCAGATTCCTGCTTGCACCGGCCCTATGGTGCTGTTCTCGGACAACCAAAGTGCTCTTGCACTGGCCGCCAATCCGCGCTTCCATTCTCGGACGAAACACATCGAGATTCGTTTCCACTACGTGCAGGAACAAGTCCAAAATGGAAAGTTGTTGCTGGAATATTGCCCCACCGAGGCAATGGTGGCTGATATACTCACGAAGGCTTTGGCTCGAGACTCCTTTGAACGCCATCGCGCTGCACTGGGAGTCTGCTCTCCATCTGTTTCGGCTGAGTGGGAGGGGTAGTCCATCCTCTCAGCTGATCGAGCCAGAGTGGGAGTGTCGAGATGTCAGTCTCGATCAGCTGACGTGGCATGTCCACGTGGTCATGAGTCATGTCCCTTGAGTCATGTAAAAAGAGTCAGAACACAATGAACGAGCTCATAAGTGTTATGTCCATCCCTTTTTACACCAAAACAGTGATCACCAGCGGTGACCCAGCATCAAGTGTTCCCGAGTATGATGCACCTGTACTCGAAGAGGATGACGAGCATGACTTGCAAGGAACTCCAGATGTAGCTAATCTTCTCTTGCAGCCGGTTGCTCCAATCGAGCTGGAGGATTCGTCCTCGCCAGCACCACCCTTGCAGCTCGAGGCAGTTCTCGCTAGCAGTCACGCGGCAGCGTCAAGTGTTCCCGAGTATGATCTACCACCATTACCTGTACAAACCCATGATTTGCAAGAGGTAACTCAGAGAGCTTAGATGGTTTGCCTGGAACCGCACCAACCTTCTCTTGCAGCTAGAGGCGGTCATGGTTGGCACTGTGGATTCAGTTCGGTATACTTCTCTTTGTGGCAAGACACTTGCAATCGACGACGACAACGACGACAACGACGACAACCTGAGCTGGGAGGATATCCAGAGCTTCTCTCGGACCTGGACATTCCCGTCGGTGCAGCCACCGTCCAGAGCCGAATTGCATCTGGAGGTGGAGGAACTTAAGAAGCTAGTTGGAGAGTGGACTTGGAAGCTACCGACCACTCTTCAGTCGATAAAAGAAGAAATGTGGAGTAGGCTTTTGAACGCGGGCTTGGAGGACGTCCCAGGAATTATGGGAAGAACTCAAAAACTTCCTGGGGTGGCATCGATTCCCAGTTATCAGTTCCCGACGGATGCTTCTGGAGGCAGCGCCAGGTCCTCCTATCTTCGTCTCCAACGAGAATGGATCTTCTCTGTTCCGCTGGGTGGATCGCTGCATAGCTCCACTGTGCGCACAACAAGATGGAGAAGAACAAGCTTCAGTCTTTTGGCAGAGGTTGAGAGGCGATGGCACCAGCAGCGTGAGAAAGCACAGGAGGCCTCCAGACAAGAATAGTGAAGGACAAGAACCTTCTGGCAGCAATGGCCGAGGAGTCATCCTACAAGGTATGTCTCTGTTGACAGGAATTAGATATGTATTCGTACTAAGATCTACACTGAACAGGTGCTAAAGCGTCATGCAGCAGCAGGATCTCGAAAGTTGTTGAGGCAAGCTGATGTTTCATCGACACCAGCTTCAGTCTTTTGGCGGAGCTTGCAAGGTGATGGTGTGGGAATGCACAGGAGGCTTCCATACAAGAATAGTGAAGAACTTGCAGCAGCAATGGCCGACAAGTCATCCTACAAGGTATGCCTCTGCTGACAGGAAGCAGATATATTCGTACTATATGCTGGATGGACATTGAACAGGTGCTAAAGTCCCATGCAGCCACAGGATTTCCATCTCAGAAGTTACTGGCTGGCGGCACTGGTGACACTAAGGAGGCTAGCAGCAATGCTTCACCACCACCAGCATCGCCACCACCTTTTATGTGGTGGTGGTTCCCTCGAAGCTTGGGCGAGGATGGTGGGAAGGCCAAGAGGATCAACACCGAAACGTTTCAAGAAGCTGAAGAGACTTCATTATCGATCTCTCAGAGTTTAGTGTATGACGTCGGGGTGAGCAGCGGCAGTGCCAGTGATTTCATTGAGTTATTTGAAGGAGAAGGCATTAGCAGCAGTGATGCCTTCCTGAACTCGCTGTTGGAAGGCGAAGGTGGCAGCAGCAGCAGCAATGCGTATCTTCAGCTGGCTTCCTCCAATGGTCTCAACTTGCAAGCGACGGCTGTGGCGGCAACTCCGCTGCTTCTTCCAATCCTTGCCGGGCTGCTGGTTGCGCTGCTCCTCCTCTTCTTTCTCTACTTCCTCTTGGGGTGGGGGAGGAGGAAGAGAGGGCTCCTGCCTCACTGAGTTCCAGCTTTCGATGCAAATGCATCAGGATGTGCAGTGGACGGGATCAAGTTGTCGCAGGCATGGCTAGGTACTTGGATCAAAACTTGAAGCCGGTGGCTTAACACTCCGTGACCCCCATCGGGAGTGATAAAACTTTGGTGGCAGGTTTTCATCGGCTGGAGAGAAGGTGGCTCTAGCGTCATCAAGGCAAGAAGTGAGCGGAGATATCTTACAAAACAGAGGTTGCTGGTGGTTCTGGAGCTTTGTCTGGTCATACACAACTTTCTATACCAATTGATGGTGTAAGTGCAAGCTAGGAAGAAAGATCATATACTGAGTGTTTGTAGAATTTAAACATTGCTGATTCAGAAAAACAGTTTTTTGTTTTCTTCGAGGCTTGGTGGGAAGCAAAAAAAGTTGCATGACTAGAAGTAACACTTGGATGGCAAGATGAGTTACTACCCTATGTGAGAGGTAAATGGAAGAAAGCACAGTTACATTGCTTGTGAAAGGATTCGTGCAAAGCCTTCTCTTGTGCGTCTCTTCCTGTCTCCAGTCTTTGCTCACTTGGTTATGGCCTGAAAGATGAACGAAAAAAAGAATAGCTCTTAACCAGTGAGCGAGATTTCATAGATGGTAGTGCAAGTGTTAACATTATTAAATGCTCAGTATACAAAATGATGGGACTTGGACCAATTTAATTAGTATCCTTTAAAGTCAAAATGACTAATGACAAAAGTGTGTAACCATTTGGAACCATCCACAACATCCTAATCAAGATCAACAATCAAAAGTTCAAAGTGACTTTCATCATATTCAAGATGGATAAAGAATATCGTTCTTATGAAGTATTTCTTGGATGAACTTAGCTCAAGATAGTTAATGTTGTCATATACTGGCAGAAGAGCATAATTGCCTTTGGAAAGCATCAAAAACCCCCTTGAATCTCCATAAGTACAACAAAGAAAATTCCAAAGAAATTCTGACCAAATATTATTCAACACTACAATTGGAATGAATGCCTTAACAACTATGAAGAAGTATAAATTATAAAGGCAGACCTAGAATTAAAGTCCCTTGTCGAAGTTGATCTCAATTGAGTTATTCCAAAGCCTAATTCAATTTGCTCAACGAAACTTGAAACTCAAGAAACTCAACTTAAGGAAAACTCCTAACTTAAGAAAATTCAACACTTAAGATTACATCAACAGAGATCAAGAAATAGTATGACCAACTAGGAATTAAACCTGAGCATCTCTAACTAATTTAGCAATAAATCAACCTCAAGGAAGAACTACAAAAAGGCTCTTAACTCAAACTAATTCTCAATCTTGAAGAACCAACTAAAGAAATCAGCTCAAGAACCAAAGATGAACCATGGAAGTTTCATATCACTAGAGATCTAGATCACATCTTTAGAGATAGAGCAATTGACATTTTAAAGAAGTATAAAGATATTTTTGCTTGGTCTTACATAAATTTGAGAAGAATCTCTCCCGAGATCTGTATACATCAAATTGAACTTCTTCTTCAGACTGTACTACGGAAACAATCAACATACCAAATGAACCTCAACATGCAATTGAAAGTCAAAGAAACACTTGATAAACTCAAGCAAGTCGGTTTCATTTACCCAATCCAAAATCTAGAATAGTTATTACCACTAGTCATTGTTTTTAAGAAGAACAATAAACTCATGATCCATCTTAACTACAAAAAGCTCAATAACACCATATGGAAAAACACATTCTCAATTCCCTTTTCTAATGAGATTTTTGACACAATTGTGAGATACAAAATATACTCATTCCTTGACAGTTTCTAAGGATACAATTAAGTTTATATTGCACCTAAAGATTTGTACAAGATAGCTTTCATTAGTCTATAAGGCACTTATATGTATATCTATATATGCCATTTGATTTTTTTAACACACCATTTACTTTCCAAAGAATTATCATTGACACTTTTAGAGAATACCTTACCAGATTCATGTGAGTTTGCATAGATAACTTCAGTGCTTTCAACAGCAAAGAACACCATCTTTACTATCTTGAGAAAGGCTTTATCAGATATCATTGCCTTGAATCTTGAGAAATGCAATTTCTTCCCTGAAGTCTGGAGTTCTACTTCGATGTGTCATTTGCAAAGAAAGCATCCTCATTAACAAAGACAAGACTTTCATTATCACCAATATGCAACATCCAACAAATATCGCCAAACTTTGAACTTTCCTTGGCAAAATAAGATACCATCGACAATTCATCAAAATTATACAAAGATCACTAAACCACTCACCCAGCTCTTCAAGAAGAATCAAGTCTATAAATGGACTCAAAAATGTTAAAAACCTTTCAACACAATTAAGAATTCATTAACAAAAACTTTAATATTTGTTTAACAAAATTGGAGCAAAGATTTCAACATTCAAGTCGACACCTCCAACTATGCAATTAGAGTGATTCTTTCACGATAATAAAAAAATTACAAAATTAACCAATCTACTACACAAGTCAAAGACTCAATTCAACTTAGATGAACTACACCACCACAGAAAAAGAAGTTCTTGGAATGGTTTACACACTCTAGAAATTTTGACATTACCTTCTCGGCAACAAAGTAAAAATCATGATCGACTATAAAACACTTCTATACCTTTTTAACAAAACCATCCTCAACACCAAAATTGCCTAATAGTTCTTACTCCTTCAAGAATATAACTTCAAGATCATTTATAAGCCCAACAAATAACACAAACAAGCTGACCACTTTAGCCATATTATGATAGGTGAACAACCAAAGTATAACGAGGATAACTTCCCCAACTCCAACATCTTGTAAATCCATACTTCATCAACCTAGATACAAGACATCTACCACTACCTAACAACAATGAAAATACCAAACTAATACATTACTTCTGACCAACACAAGCAATTCATTTTAAAGATAAGACCATATTCAGTCATGAGAGGAAGACTATACAAGAAAAGATGAGACAATGTATTATGAAGATGTGTACAACCTAAAGAAACTCAAGATTTACTTGAAGAAGCTCATTGTAGATAAGCAAGAAGACACTTTGCAAAAGAAATCACAACTCAAAAAATTTTCCAAGCTAAACTTTAGCGGCCAACACTCTAAAATGATTCAGCAAAATTTTGTTATGAATATAACATTTATTCAAGAACCAAGCATGTGCCAAAAATGTAGAATCAAGGACTTCATCCAACAACTTCTCTCAAACCACTTTAGCAATTTTGTAGAACCACTTACAACAAGTTCAAAATGAAACAAATATATCCTCATAACTACTAATTACATAACAAAGTGGGTTGAAGCTCAATTAATAAATGCTGCAATAGGGAAAAACACAGTAAAGGTCATCTATAAAAACATCATCACAAGGAACAGTTTACCTCAAGAATTTGTTATAAATCGAGAAACACACTTCATTAACAAGACCACCAATATTTTAACTCAAGAATTCACAATCAAGCATAAGGCTTTAACACTATACTATCCTCAAGGAAATGGTCAAACCTACAAACAAGACCCTACAAAATATATTCAAAAGGGATCATGAAGATAAATAAAAAAGACTGGGACAATCGTATCCACAATGCCCTTATCAAACTATTTATAAGCTTTTAACAAATTTGACATCATTTAAGCTTGCTTACAGCTTGACACCACTTAAGTACATCATTCTTTCATTGCGAATGGCAATACTCTATGTGATCAACCAAGAAGAATCAGTGACCAATGATAGAAAAGCTTAACAAAAAACAACTATAAGCAATTTGGACACTTAAAACCATTCAAGCTAAAAGAAAAGCTAACCATGACAAAAAAAGACAACTCAAGAAAAGTGAAGAATTCAAGGTTAGAGATCAAGTTTTATAATTTCAAGGAAATATAGAGAAAATCAACTCAAAGATACAATCAAGATGGGAAGGACAACATTTAAACCCTATGGATTTTTTCTAAAATTGTTTTCTTTAATTACTTATAACTTCCCACTGGTGAAGAGTGATTGACATTAATTCCATGCATGAAGGAAATCCACTAAAGTGTATCAAGGTACTTGAGAACTACAATAGTGGATTTTTTTTTACAAATGAGCAATGTGATTGACGAAGCTAAGCTGCAATTCAAGTTTTTGATCTCCACACTAGAGATGTGTAAGTCCACAACTTTTGCCAGTAAAGCAATTATGATTCTCTATGATGACTTGTAATACAAGACACATTGCAAACTACCTCTATGACAAGCTTATCAAGGAACTTCATATCACAATGACAATGATCCAAGATAGCCTCAAATGCAAAACCTCATCCCTACATTGCAGCACTCATTCTAAAGCTCAACACCACCATTTTACTACAAATCAAAGAGACAACAACAAATAATAGCAATAAAAGATTGAGGAAAGCCACAAACATAGAGACATTATAAACACGAAGAAAAGGGGAATGTGCTTAAAAAATATGAGACAATTTCCCATTAACAGTAAATTATCATTAGGATCCGTCCCCACAAAATAAAGAAAATCATCCTTAAAGCAATATTGAAAATGTAAATACTTATATAACAAGTCATCAATAAATAATGCAAAATTCTCAAACTTATTATAAAGCCTTTAGCCTCACTAGGACTCAATAAATTTGTCACATTAGGCTTGGCTTTGGGGTGACCTTTGAAGTGTTGAGGTAAGTCATATATAACATGTTTATAGTGTGAGTATACACTTTCATATAACCTAGTAGAAAGCATCACATGATTGGGGAGAAATCTAGATAACTACACTCCCTTCCAACTTCTTTATGCATTAATGCTGTGCATCCAATTTAGCTCAGGCAACTAGCATTGAAGGCCTAAATTCCACTTTGCAGCTCCAACCAGCTCTTGGAGCTCAAGGAGACTAGAGAGCATGCAGCCCTGCACAATTGACTATACCAGCAATAACTCATTTGTCAGCAAAGGAAGACACATGGGTCAACTTTTCAGACAGGGATCTCATCTGGCTTTAAAATATCTGAACCCATCAACCAAAGCTAGAACCAGCTTGGAGCGGCCCATTTCAGGTGAAAAGCATCACTGGTGCAAAGTTTATTTTACGTTCAAGTGATAGATGAATCCCTTCAACAGGGTTCATCTTCAATGCTATTACATATAACAGCAGCAACATACACATAGAGGTTATCTAGTTCTTCATTTTTGCTTCACCACGCAGCCCCATCATGAAAAGTCTCAAAAAAAGCTCATGCATCTATGAGTTTTATTCATATCAAAACACTTCTAACAAGTCCCCTCTTCTTCCTAATGGGTGGAGTAGCGTATTGCTCTAACGTGCCTTTTTTCACAACATTCAGAGTGCGGATATATGGGGATATTCCCTCGAGATGCATATGTGGATGAGCTCCGGATACTTCTCTTCTATGTCCAGCTTGGCCACCGTCAGCAATCTCCAACTTCAAACTCGTACAGCTGCTGCTCAGCCACATCTTACAGTGAGGCAAAACTATCGCCATGTGTTGTGCTTGAAGCAAGCAAAGGCACTTCCGAGCATGCAGTAACGCAATGAAACCGAACCCAGAAAATCCAGCCGGCATGCTGTTTGGTAGAGCGTTACTTTCCTGGTCCCAATCGCCGACCACTCGATAACCGGGCATATGTTGTAGTTGCATGATCGAGGAGCTTGCCTCGCTCGGCAGAAGAAGACGCAGCATCCAGGTATAATTCGGCCAGGAAAAACCCCAGTGCCTGGTACACATTTCCAGCTCGAGAAGAAGCTCGCTTTGCTCCTTTCAGTCTATACCACTGCTGGAAACGCGCTCGAGAATACCGTATCCAACGTGATATAGTCCACTGTCTTGCATAAACTGCGTCACCTCACTAGCTGAGACCGAGCTCTCAGAAGCCGGATATGCCAAGCAGCCGTCTACGCAGGGCGCGATACCTGAAGCCTCGGGATCGACTTCGACCTCTAAACGCGAGCTGTCGATGATGAAAGGTTGTGTCAAGCTCTTGGGACAATCGGCCACCGCCTCCTCGCCTTTGATCAGGATCCGTAGCCGAGTGCTTCGACGTTCGTGTGCATGGCTGTCTTCGACTTCTGAGAAGAAGATCATCTGTCAGCTTGGCAGAAGTCTCGCTGCTGCTCCATCGGGACCTTGCACCGAGAAGAGAACGCGAGAATTGGCAAGATAGCAGCCGCTCTTCTCTTTGAGCTCCTCACTCTTCAAAACCTTCCATTCCTGCCTGTTTTGCAGTGACTCCAGAGTAGCCTTGATAAGGAAAAGCCAAGACGGCTCCTCAAGTACTGCTTCCTCTTTTCCTCTTGGTTGTATCCGGGACAACGTCGAGCTTCCTCTTCCGCTGAAACGAAAGGTTGGGATGTGCCGGTTCCAAACTGTCCATCCCCGAAATGCCGGTGCCATGGTGCTTGCCTTCAATAACTCTCTTGGTATGAAGCGCGCGAGTGTGCGAAGGATGGAAACGTTTCACGACTGAGATGCAGCCTGTCTCGTCTCCAATGGCGATCAAAACTTCGACAAGTTTCTCCATGCGCCTTGCAACTCCCTGATAGGAAGAACACCATATATTCTTACAGTGTTGCAGAAAAAAGCCATCGCAAGTAAGAACTCAAAGAAGAAATTTCGAAAGCAAAGCTTTCACCAAGTGTTTGAAGTCACCTGTGATTTGATTGACAAAGGATCGCCTGGAAGGTAAATTTCTAGGGTTTCTCGATGGCGGAGTTTTTGGCGCTTCGATGCCACGCGTGCAAAATGTTCCAGGTACTTGAGAATCTTTTCTTGAGTTTTTGATCGAGCTAGCCACGCGTTTGCAGGTGAAGCCACGGAAGAAATCCAGCAACAAATGGTGTTGTAGCGTTTGCAATGAGGTCCCCGCTTTGTAGAGCTTCGGGAGATGAGACTCCTGCGCAGAGAGAAAGCCGATTCTCTGCGTGACACCTGTATGCGATCTATCAACGAGAGTAGAAGCCGATTGGAGCCTTCGCCCCCACAAAAGAAGTGCAGGTTAGAAGCGTCGTCGCTCTACGGGAGCTCCCAAAAACCCTAATTCATTGAAGAGAGACCAAGGGGAAAGAAATGTATCGCATCGCAGGCGTTTCCCGCATGATCCGGAAGCGGCAGCGCCGAGAGTCTCCGCCAAAGCTCTTTTCTTCCCGAGCGCACTTGCCCATGGGCACGCACTTGCCACGGGCACGCACTTGCCCACGGCGGCAACTGCTGGCAAAGAGATTTCAAAGAAGCGAATGGAAGACGAGAAGACGTGGGTGTGGAACTGCGTCATCAGAGACTACGGCATGCTTGGCCGAGTCGAGTGCACTCGAGAGGCATTTCTGCAGTGTCCAGCTAGGAACTTCCTGAGCTGGAAGCTCCTTGCGGACGCATATGCCCACAAGGGGCATTACTGGAAAGTACTAGAGATTGAAGACAAGATCCCGGCTGTGATGTATCAGCTTGCTCCGCCTCCTCCTTCTTCAGCATCCATCTTTGATGCTGTTTCTCTGTACCAGAAAGGCAAGAGGTGGGCAGCATGGGAACTTCTTCAATGAGGAAAATGGAAGGAAGCTTCTTTTTTTGGCATTGGGCAAATACAAGACAGTTTCTATGCTTCTTGTGTTCACTTCCCTCTTGACTTATGGCAATGTCCAGCTTTTCAAGCTAATTCGGACCATGATAGAAGGATCTTCACTGACTGAAGAAAGCCTCATCCATCTAGCATGCTGCCAGGGCACTTGAGGTGTTTCAGGCGTTCCAGTGGAAGCTACGCGAGCTGCGAAGGAACTAGCCACTGAGGGCGTTCCAGTGGAAGCTCCGCGAGCTGCGAAGGAACCAGTCACTTAGGGCGTCGCAGTCACTCAGGGTGTTCCAATGGAACCAGCCACTCAGGGCGGTCCAATGGAAGCGCGAGCTGCGCGTGAGCGTCTCGAGGCTTTGTACATCAAGGCCTCATTCTGTGTGTTTGGCGAGGATATGCGGCTAAAGCTGAAGGCTCTGAAGACGCTCAGAGCAATGCGAATTGCTGGGGCTCACTGTGGGGACTTACTGCTGGAACAAGGAAATAGCCCAGCAGATAACTACGCAAAGACACTGGCAATCCATGCCATATTAGAGGCGGAGCAGCTGATGGCTCTTGGTAACGTGCCTAAAGAGTGCCGGCCATTCGTGAACGCTCTCAAGAGTGTCCTTGCAAAGCTGAGAGACGACGGTGTCACGCTACGACCCGGGGCTTGTGAATGTACAGTTTTTTACCAAGAGACGACAACGTTATAGTAGGATTTTAACTCTTCTATGATGCTATGATGGCTGAGCATGGTGTCAGTGCCTCTAGCCTACGTTGTAAGTTTTGCGAAACAGGCAGCGCTGACACCAGCTCAGGTGCATGCGTGGTTATTATCGTCTGGACAAGTCTAGCTTTGGGCCGGTCTCACTGTGCCTCTCCAGTTCCCGGCACGGCACTCGTATGGCATCAATGAGCTCGCGTTTCTGACCGGAACATGTCCTGAGAGATATCAATGTTTTGGTTACGAAAGCTGGGCTGCCACTGCCGGAGGAGAGCTTCAGCGCGGTCACTCCGGAGGGACTTGCCAGCGTTGAAGGGGCCTTACCTGGAAATGCGTTGCTCAGGGCTGGAGTGATCGGGCTCTCTGTTCAAGGCAGTCCTTGAGATTTGGAAACATCTTTTGGCGTCCTCCAGGAGTTGTGTCGTCGAGCTTCGAACATACGGTGTTCGTGGCATCTTCACCTCCTCGAGCTCGATATCTAGATGAGGGGCAGCCGTGCGTGGAAGTCCTCAGCGCTGGGAACTCCAAGGAGGCATGAGCGTGGCGGAAGTGGAACGGATCTAGCACGATTGGTGTGTGCAGGGAGCACTCTTTTTCCTTTTCTCTGTTTTGTTCCGGTGCTCCTTACTATAATATATCTAACGCTTGAAACTAACCAAAACCAAACTAGACCTCAGACCTCACCATAACCGCTAGACCTCTCCACGTGGACAAGTTTGCAACCAAAGTTCTAGACATGGAGGGAGCTAGAATGCCAAGTTCGTCACAATTGCGCTGCCTATCAACATCCTCAAATCGCCTGGGCTCGCACCTCCTCACCACGATCTTCTGCGCTGCTCCACGGTTCCCATGAAACATCCACACTCCCGCGACCGTATTCCTTGGTCCGCTCCACCAGCTGGTTATACACGTCGGGCTCGTAGCAGCTGTTCGCCGAGAAATCCATTTCCCATGGCCTCTCCCGCAGCATGCACACGGTGCTCGAAGCTCCCCAGCCGGACACTCCCGTGCAAACATCAGAGCAGTAGCAGCAGCAGCAGCAGGACTATTACAGTGGCTTCAAACCGCAGCATCACTTCCCTTCCCCGATGTGATTCATCTCCTGCGCATCCAAACAAATCCTGCTCCATACGCTCCAACTTTCCACGGACGAGCTCGGCCAAACTTGGGCATTTACATCAGCCGCTTGACGTCCCGCTTGACGTCTTCTTGCTTGAGAGCAGCGGCACACCCTGAAAGCTCCTGACTTTCCTCGGGGCTCCAAGTTCTCAGCTCCTCGTCGTCTCCGCTGCAAGCGCTTCCTGGTGATAGCAAAGGATCATCGTCGGGTTTCAGGAAAACTCCAGCGCAAGATGGCAAAGTTGGCAGGGCTCGATATAAGCATCCCGAGCGCTTTGAACTCGTGCGATTGCACAGCATCGGTGCACTTGCCCATTTCCAACAATATCCTTTTGTCCATCTTGATACTAAATCCTTTCTTTGATTGCCAACGAGCACACCAGTAGACCCAATGAAAGCAAGCCCAGAAAGTCCACCCGGCATCCCTTTCGATGCTGCTGCTTCTTAGAGCATTATTTTCCTGGTCCCAGTCAACTTCAGAGCCGACCACTCGAGAACCCGGCATATGTTGTAGGTGCAGTGATCGAGGAGCTTGCCTGGCTCGGAAGAAGAAGACGCAACATCGAAGTATAACTCGACCAGGCAGAGATTGGACCTGGAACTCCTGCCATTCCCAGTGCCTGGTATACTTATCCAGCTCGAGAAGAAGCTCGTGCTGGCCTGCTGGAAACCGACTCGAGAATACCGTGTCCAAGGTGATATAGTCCACTGTTGTTCTCGTAGTCTTTCATGAACTGCGTCACCTCTCCATAGTGGCGCAAGAGGCCGATCTCTCGGGACAATTTGCCACCGCCTCCTCAGTCTAATTCTTGAGTCATCCATCCGTTGTAGCTTTCGCATATCTCTTCACAAGATAACAAGCTGACAGTTAACCTGTGGTGGCTGCGACACTGTCTCTCTTGCGGAGAGCATGAACGTCGAAGCGCCATAGCCAAATATACATAATAAGCAGTACACCTGGATCAGTGAGGTGGCGCTACTGCCACTTAAGATCATGTCATAGAGAGCATATATACTTTACGAGTTCTGCCTCCTCGTCCCAGTTCGACGCGTGAGCCCTCGTCTTGAGTGAAAAGGATTTCGCATTCGTTCTTCTCTTTGAGCTACTCGCTCTTCAAAACCTTCCCGTGTTGCCTGTTTTGCAGCGAGGAGAAGCCAAGAAGGCTAGCGTTAGCTGGACCGAATATTGCTTCCTTTCTTCCTCTTGGATGTATCCGGGACAACGTCGAGCTTCCTCTTTCGTTGAAACGAAAGGTTGGTATGCGTCCATTCCAAACTCTGCAATGCCAGTGCCACGGTGCTTCTCTTCAATAACTCTCTTGTATGGAGAGCAAATTCTTACAGTGTCGTGGGCTGTGCTCAAACGCTTTGCGTGAGATATTGAGCTTTCCAAGTGAGCAGGTGGATTCCAAAGGACGACATCCTTCGATCCCCAAAGCCTTCCTCTGGCTATGTCAGAAAACATGATCAAAGGCAAGCTTTTTTTTTCACTCACATTGCAACTTTCCGTCTTATGGTGAATTTGTTTGTTTCTTTGAAGTCACGAGTGTTCGAAGTTACCTGTGATTTGGATCTTGGATGATCACCTGGAAAAGACTCTGCGCATTTGCCAGATCCCACTTGACAGGGCATCTTTGTAGAGCTTCGGGCTCCAGCTCCATTGAGCCATGATCTGCAGCAGGTATTGGCGCATTTCTCAAATGGTTGCTTCCGACGGCCCAGACGTAGTGATCATGTACCACAATAATTCTTGACGTCACAATCCAAGCTCAATTCATCTAGCAACGTCGCTACCACAAGCACCTAGAAGATTATTGCAAATGACAGTCCCTCCCAAGCATGGAGGAACACACTACTTGTGTACTTCTTTACCTCAAGGCGAGAAATTTTATAGCTTCTAGCTTGGTGCATGGCGTGTGTTCGAAACTGCTCTTGACCAAAAATGCGCTCAACATCTTATAAATCTCTGTATCATGAATCATCGATCATCTCTCTCCACCGAAACTGATCCGGTAGAGCAAGTCCATCAGCATATAACTGGCGGCGGCTACTCCTCATGTGTCTAAACATCCCTCTCTTCCTCAAAATCAATGGGCTCACACCTCCTCGCCACGATCTCCTGCGCTGCTCCCTCCTGCGCCTTGTAATCCCGCAGCAGCTGCTCAATGTGCGCCACCTCAAACCTGAAGAGATTCACGCAGCAATCCGGTTCCCAAACCGTGTAATCTTTAATCTCAATCTCGCGATGGTACTCCTTTGCACCCTCGATCCACTCCACCAGCTGGTTATACACGTCGGGCTCGTAGCAGCTGTTCGCCGAGAAATCCATTTCCCCTGGCCTCTCTTGCAACAGCTTGCTGCACAGCAAGTCGTCCTCGAGCTCCTCGAGCTCCTGGAGCTCCTCAACCATCCGGGCTTCAAACCGCAGCATCACTTCCCTCGTCCTATCAATGTCGCTCGCACATCTGAACAAATCCTGCTCCGCCCAGCATGCCATTCGCTCCTTAAATTCTCTAGCACCTGGAGTGGATTTGGAAAACACATTGGACGGTGTCAACCCTTGTTTCCACGGTGATCTCCGGATGAGCTTCGCCAGCGAATTGCTAAACTTGGGCATTTGCATCTGCCGCTTGACGTCCCGCTTGACTTTAGCGCGTACTGCTTTCACGAGATCTCGGTGCGTTTTCTCATCCAAGCTATCCACGCGAGAGCGGAGGTCGGCGTAAGTGATACCAGAATAGGGGCCCTCTATAATACTAAGGAGGGGAAAGGGATCATAATAGTCATCGATCACCTCGACTCTGGCGATGAACATGTCGACATCTGCGGCCTTGCAGGCTTGATCCCACACGCGACACAATCGAAGGTCTAGCCTCCGCACAACAGTGTTCACAACGCTCAGATAAGCATTCCGTCCCATCAGAACCTACCCTAGCCCTAATTGTCTAATTGAATTTTGAGCTTTTGCGTGAGAGAAAAATTCAAATCCTGTTGCTGCCTTGAGAAACGCAATTTGAACAAACACACCTTGGGCTCATTGCTGCTGCCGAGCGAGCAATCCTAAACTTGCATACATATGACAGCTATTTTCTATGCTTTCTTTTCCCTCTCTTCACTGCCCTTTATCGGCCAAAACATCAAACCCATTTTTCCTGAAATCACTGAACGCGATCCATGTAGGAGTACATTTACTCTATCTATTTATTTATCTGTTGATAGTCTCTCACTTGAAGCATGAGACTGATGGATGCATAATGCAAGGGTTTGTGAGCTTTGCTAATGATGCTCGCTACTCCATGCTTCATACAATCTTCAAGCTCTTCAGAAGTTGTAGACTTTACCTTGTTCTTGGTCTTCCTAGCTCTTCTTGGTTTCAGTGCTCTTGGCCTCTCTTTGTTCTATAACTTCTCTTGGCAATAATCTTGGCTTGATCTTGGCAAATTATTGGCTTGAAAGTTGAGTTTCTGTTGTCCACTTGTTTCTTCTTGCTCGGGTTTATGGCTTGATTGTAGTAGTGACCTTGGCTGATGAACCCTTGACCTTGTCAGTTGCAGATGCGAAGAGTACATTCCATCGTAAGTAAGACAAAGCTAGACGAAGCCTTCACTGAAGAGATCACATATATGGTACTCGATTTATACCAACTCGCAATCAAGAAGAGAGGTTGCTATCGTGATCATAAAGCCATGGAATATTCATAGATGAGCGGACGATACCCCCTTGCGTGACACTTCCCCATCACAACTAATAAGGCAGAGCTGGATAAGGTTCTGGGGCTCCTTCCGGAACATTGTTTGACTAAAAGTTGCAACTACACATCCTCCATCGTGCAAAGGAATTTGAGAGGGATGCTGCCAGTTAATTTGTTCTAGTTGTTCCACCAGCCACACCACATTGAAGTTTCTATAGTCAAATATTTCATGTTTCTCTTTATTGCAGGCTCTCTGGAGTTATTCACTGTGTACCATAATCGCAACATAATGGATTTCCAACGCTACCTCACCAGCCACTTCAGAAATGTAGAAGTGAATCTAACTTGTCTACAACTGCGCGATGTCTTTTAAAGGGTAAGGTACGTTTGGAGGATGCCCAGCTGAAATGGTTTCATACCCTCGCTCACTTGTTTTACAGACCCAAAAAACAGTACAAAACGCGGGTTGCTGGTTGAAAGAAGGCAGCTGATGATCCTCAGATTCGCGAGCTGCTTGAAGCAAATCTCTTTACATATATTCCTTCGATAATATTCCACGATCTTCTAAATCGATACTTTACATAGTAACCCTGCCCTATTATATTGGCGGCGATGGAAGCTCTAGCATTGGCGTTCTCCTGGTTGCGACGCGCTCCAGCACAGGCAAGCACGCAGGCAACAGGATTGAAGGTCCTCCTCCTTGAGGTGTGTACAGCTCGCTCGTTTCTGTCATTTTTTCTTGTTCCTTGACATTTTCCGCTTGCGGACAGACTCCTGCTGCAACAGCAGACAAGAAAGCGGAGGATTTCCCAGTGCAGCTCGAGGCAGTGATCATCAGCAGTGACCCAGCATCAAGTGTTCCCGAGTATGATGCACCTGTACTCGAAGAGGATGACGAGCATGACTTGCAAGGAACTCCAGATGTAGCTAATCTTCTCTTGCAGCCGGTTACTCCAATCGAGCTGGAGGATTCGTCCTCGCCAGCACCACCCTCGCAGCTCGAGGCAGTTCTCGCCAGCAGTCACGCGGCAGCGTCAAGTGTTCCCGAGTATGATCCACCACCATTACCTGTACACAACCATGAAGGTAACTCGAGAGCTTAGATGGTTTGCCTGGAACTGCACCAACCTTCCCTTGCAGCTAGAGGTGGTCATGGTTGGCACTGTGGATTCAGTTCGGTATACTTCTCTTGGTGGCAAGACGCTTGCAGATGACGACAACAACGATGACGACAACCTGAGCTGGGAGGATATCCAGAGCTTCTTTCGGACCTGGACATTCCCGTCGGTGCAGCTACCGTCCAGAGCCGAATCGCATCTGGAGGTGGAGGAACTTAAGAAGCTAGTTGGAAAGTGGACTTGGAAGCTACTGACCACTCTTCAGTCGATAAAAGAAGAAATGTGGAATAGGCTTTTGAACGCGGGCTTGGAGGAGGACGAGGTGACGTCCCAGGAAGAACAAGCTTCAGTCTTTTGGCAGAGGTTGAGAGGCGATGGCACCAGCAGCGTGAGAAAGCACAGGAGGTCTCCAGACAAGAATAGCGAACGACAAGAACTTGTGGCAGCAATGGCCGAGGAGTCATCCCACAAGGTATGTCTCTGTTGACAGGAATCAGATATGTATTTGTACTAAGATCTACACTGAACAGGTGCTAAAGTCTCATGCAGCAGCAGGATCTCGAAAGTTGTTGAGGCAAGCTGATGTTTCATCGACACAGCTTCAGTCTTTTGGTGGAGCTTGCGAGGTGATGGTGTGGGAATGCACAGGAAGCTTCCATACAAGAATAGTGAAGAACTTGCAGCAGCAATGGCCGACAAGTCATCCTACAAGGTATGCCTCTGCTGACAGGAAGCAGATATATTCGTACTATATGCTGGATGGACATTGAACAGGTGCTAAAGTCCCATGCAGCCACAGGATTTCCATCTCAGAAGTTACTGGCTGGCGGCACTGGTGACACTAAGGAGGCTAGCAGCAATGTTTCACCACCACCAGCATCGCCACCACCTTTTATCGAAGCTTGGGCGAGGATGGTGGGAAGGCCAAGAGGATCAACACTGAAACGTTTCAAGAAGCTGAAGAGACTTCAATATCAAACTCTCAGAGTTTAGTGAATGACGTCGGGGTCAGCAGCGGCAGCGGCAGTGGCAGTGGCAGTGGCAGTGATTTCATTGAGTTATTTGAAGGAGAAGGCATTAGCAGCAGTGATGCCTTCGTGAACTCGCTGTTGGAAGGCGAAGGTGGCAGCAGCAGCAGCAATGCGTATCTTCAGCTGGCTTCCTCCAATGATCTCAACTTGCAAGCGACGGCTGTGACGGCAACCCGCTGCTTCTTACAATCCTTGCCGGGCTGCTGGTTGCGCTGCTCTTCCTCTTCTTTCTCTACTTCCTCTCGGTGATCAGGAGGGGAGGAAGAGAGGGCTCCTGCCTCACTGAGTTCCAGCTTTCGATGCAAATGCATCAGGATGTGCAGTGGACGGGATCAAGTTGTCGCAGGCATGGCTAGGTACTCAGATCAAAACTTGAAGGCGGTGGCTTAACACTCCGTGACGATCCCCATCGAGAGTGATAGAACTTCGGTGGCAGGTTTTCTCGGCTGGAGAGAAGGTGGCTCTAGCGTCATCAAGGCAAGAAGTGAGCGGAGATATCTTACAAAACAGAGGTTGCTGGTGGTTCCGGAGCTTTGTCTGGTCATACACAACTTTCTATACCGATTGATGGTGTAAGTGCAAGCTAGGAAGAAAGATCATATACTGAGTGTTTGTAGAATTTAAACATTGCTGATTCAGAAAAACAGTTTTTTGTTTTCTTCGAGGCTTGGTGGGAAGCAAAAAAAGTTGCAAGACTAGAAGTAACACTTGGACGGCAAGATGAGTTACTATCCTGTGTGAGATGTAAATGGAAGAAAGCACAGTTACATTGCTTGTGAAAGGATTCGTGCAAAGCCTTCTCTCGTGCGTCTCTTCCCGTTTCCAGTCTTTGCTCACTTGGTTATGGCCTGAAAGACGAATGAAAGGAAGAACAGCTCTTAACCAGTGAGCGAGTTTTGTCAGCTTTACTTGACGCTAGATGGAGCTGCGGCCTCCTGACAAGAGAGAACGCGCAAACAATAAGCCCCCACACAAAGATTTTGCCATCGTTTATCATCCGCATTATATCTATGTGATCAACATGAAGTTCTAGAAGAACTAAGCAATGGATCCAGAGAGCCACTTCGAAGTTCAACTCAGGCAGTCAAAAGCTCCAATTTTAAATGTTAATCAGGAATGGAACCCTACCATCAACGGCCACCATTTAAAAATAAAAAACGCTGCCAAAGGAGCTTCTCCATTTACGATCTAGACGAGAACAACGTTTTTTCTCCAAGCAGCACTCTCTTCCAGATGAAACGCGTACGGCACGTGGCCCCCCGGTGTCGTACGGAGGCGGTCAGTGGTAGACGTGCTCGGCTAGCCGAGGCGTTGGGACGAGCTTGAGCGGCTTGTCCAAAATCACACTGTTATACGCCGGGCTCACGTCGATCTCTCCTCCGTCCGGGGTCGCCCACTCGAATCCGTGCACCAGAGTGGACACTCCATACATGATCATGCATGTCCCCAGAGCAGCGCCGGGGCAGCCTCTCCTCCCAGCTCCAAACGGCACCATCCGGTACTCTGGATCAAACAGCGACGAGGACGCCGCCGCCTCGACCTCTCGATCGCTTCTCGTGGTAGATTCCTCGTCGCCCAAGAACCTCTCTGGCCGGAACTCGAGCGGGTTGTCCCACACCGCGGGGTTTCTTCCCAGAGAGTACGTGTTGATGAGCGCACGGGTGTTCTTGGGGATGAAGTAGCCGGCCAGCTCCGTGTCCTGGACCGTGACGTGCGGTATGAGGAAGGCGCCGACGGGGTGTAGGCGGAGGACCTCCTTGACCACCGCACGGAGGTACGTGAGGTGCTTGAGGTCCGACTCGCGTACCGCGCGGTGCCGGCCCCCGACCACGCGCTCGATCTCGTCCCGGACCTTGGAGAGTACCGCTGGGTGGCGGACCAGCTCGGCCATTGTCCACTCGCTCGTGATGGAGGTGGTGTCGGTGCCTGCCGCTGCCATGTCCTGCAAAGCAAGGTCACGGGACTATCAGGCACAACTGGAGGGACTGGGAAAAGTGAAGAGACAAAGGCAAAAAGATGTGAGAAGAAGGAAGACGCAAAGAACAAGCAAAAAGATGTGAGAACAAATACCAAAGGGAAGGAACTGGAAATCCAACACGACAAAGGCAAAAAAATGTCCAAAAGGAAGACAATCAAGCAAAGAAAGAAAGAATAATGACTTACCACAAGAATCGCCTTGATCACCGTGTGGCTCAATCCTTTCTGCGTCAGCAGCACGTCGACGAACTTGTTGGTGGTGGAATCACCGTCTTTCTCCGCGCTCGTTCTTTTGCTGCGGTGTTCTTCGATCACGGCATCGTACAGTCTATCCGTTCTGTTCATTATGTCCTTGATCTTTTTCTCGTAGCCTTGCACGTCCAGCCACCTCAGGAAAGGCAAGTAGTCGGCCAGGTTGAACGCGTTGACGAGCGCGAAGGCATCGTAGATAAGAGATCGGTGTTCGCTTCCATCTCGAGGCCCGGTGACTCCAGGCCCGAAAAATCGTTTGCCCAGAAGCATCCGAGCGAGATTGTTGCTCGCGAGTGAACCAAACAGGTGGCGTAGCTCGACTATGTTGTTTTCGGTGATCGAATCCGTCCTGATACTCAAAACTTTAGATATGAACTCCACAAGAAAACTTACAAAGTTTTACAAACCTGTTGATCGCCTTGGTTGTATCCGCGTGACTGGTGTCGCTGCTGACAATTTTTTTATAAAAAACAATTATGTTTTTCATCAGAGAAAAGAAAAGCTACGAACCTTTTTCTTATGCTCGTCGTCCACACCGCTCGAGCCATGAGAGCAATCTCTTCCTCTCGTCCCTGCTTGAACAATTCGAGCCTTCTGGGAGCCAGGAGCTCCAGGGTGCAAATCCGGCGCATGGCTCGCCAATGTGCTCCATAAGGAGCGAACGCGATGTCGTTGCCACCGTAGGTGAAGTGTTGCGACGCGATGCTGGCTGGCCGGGACGCAAAAACCGCATCCTGGTTCTTGAGAATGGCCTTGACGATAGCTGGATCATCCGTCACGACCGCTGGAACTCGTCCCAACTTGAGAAACACGAGCGGACCGTAGCGTTTGTTCATGGCCAGCATTCTCTCGTGAGGAATCGGACTCGTCTGCAACAGGTTCCCGACGATGGGCCACGGCATTGGCCCCGGAGGCAGCGTCAGCCCAGCCAAATTCGAATTCTTATTCGAGCACGAATCATCCTTGCTGCTGCTGCTGCTCACGAATCTTAATCTGTTGTGCTTGAGCGCCGAGAAGTATGCCAGAAGCAGAAGGCCAAGCAGCACCAGGTAATGCAAATGTCCGAAGGCTGGAAGATATAGCACCACGTCTGTACGAAGGACAGGATCTTGGAAGAAGCCCATAGCCAAGTCCATTCTCCTGACTTCCTTTCTCGTCCAAGTCCCCTGACGTACGTCCTCTCCGATTGAAACCTTTTCTTTTGGCTTGCAGTCCTTGAGAACGACCTCCCTCACTTCACTGTTGCTGGTAGCAAAACTGGCATCTGTCTGAAACCTCGAAGTTTTCCAGAATTCCCACCGATTCTGAAGAGCGACCACTCCACCAATTTATAAAATCCGCTGGATTTTTCCTGCTTTTCACTGCTGACTTTAGCGACGTAAAAGCAGCAACGACCAGGCCGAAGGCGAGTGAACGAGTAGCTCTAAAGAGATTGACCAGGCGAGCAGCAACAACCCGAGTAACGCCGACTAAATGAGAGTTCTCAACCAGCTCACATCGTCAGTAGATAAGATGCGATGCAGGGTAGCTCGAACAAGTCGCAGCACCGCCATTTCAAGTCCGAGCGCCTCTTTTCCTCTTTTTCTCAGTCTTCCCAAGTCGCTGAATTGTTACTCCTTCCTACTTTCGAGAGTTGCAATGTCTTCCTCTGACAAACATACCAACTTGGCCTGTCATTGCACGCCTGCCCTGGCTACCGTCGGATGCTCATTTGAGCCCATGAATGACAATAACCAAATGGAATCACGCAGCCGATAGCCTTGTACCCCCTCTTAACTTTGCATGCCCTGGAGCCTCTCACGTAAAGCGGGTGCTGCGAGCCTCTTTTTAACTTATATAGCACCGCCGCTCAAAGATGACTGGTGTACTGGCTGATTCAACGTTGTTCTCGGCACCACAGGCAAAATTCTCGCTTGATCTCAAGACGCGTTTCCGGAAACTCTAATCCATCCTGCTGCTACGTCTGTGCTGAAAGAATGCCGCGACGCACAAATCCTGTGTTGCTTGTATAGAAAACGAGCCACTTGTTTTTGCTGCCGACCACCTCGGACCCTCTCTTTCACTTGAGTAGAATTGATGCCACTTGATTCTCTAACCCGGTACCATCCTGGACAGTTGGTTCTTTCTCCTCCACACAAACACCGCGAGGGTCCTCCTCGACTGTCAGTGTAAGGACAGACCTCTCGCTCCATCTCTGCTCTACCTTACGTCTAGAATTTTTGCCGATGGTGATTGCAAAAACCGCATCCCAACCCCCAGCTCCAGGGACTCCAGCAAAGAGTACTCCCGGAAGTTCCATTGTCTCGTCTAGCAACTCACTTTGTGGGCCTGGTTCAAGCTGTTTGAAAACAAAAATTGAAGCTCTGTCTGAAAGAAAAGGATTGACATACCGGTACTTTAGCCTCTTCTCCCATCTGTCTTAAAAGAGACCTTACAATGCTGAAATCTTGACGGATTTTCAGAAGAGCTGACACAACGTCCTTGTCCGAATCTTTGAGCCCATTCCACTGCATAAAAAGAAAAGGCAGTAAGTAGAAAGTTGTAGAAATAAGGTGGTTCACCTTGGCTTCTGCGCAACTGCTGCAAGCTTCAAGTACAAGTGTATAAGCTTCCGAATCCGTTTCGTGTAATTCTTTTAAACGCAAAAGGTCCGCCTCCACGTTTTCGTTTGCTTTAGCTAGGGTCCTCCAACAGGCCTCCGCATTCGGGTGCTTCTCGCGCCAAGCGTTGACAGCCCCTACCATTGACGGTGTGTGTGATCCACCACGTCCAGACTCGCCCAGTACCTGAAAAATTGAAGAGCACTAGAATTTATCTCATTGTGCTCGAAGGACAAACCAGAAAAAGCATTGGAGGTAGAGCAAAGTTAGATCTTTGCGAATTCCAGTTCTTCATGTCCAGTACTGACTTCATTGCCTTCTCCAGCGACTTTGGTTTTCCATTGTCCTGGAAAGCGAAACAAGAGTTGAACTCAAACTCTATAACTCTTAAAATCAAAAAGCTTACGTCAACGGGATCCATTGCTGGACTTAGCACTCCCGGTGAGAAGCGCACGTATTTCTGGCTTCCATAGACCGCTGCGCTGACATCAAAACCACTGCCAATTTTCCCTTGTGCATGGCCGTGTGCTGCTTGAGAAGCCGCGTGTACTACGTCGAGATACTCAACAGACCCGGAACCGAGCTGAATAACACCCAAGTACTCCAAAATCCCCGCAACAATGGCTGTAGTCATGGCCGCTGAAGAGCCAAGGCCAGTCTTAGCCACCTCAGGCGACGTTCCATCAGATGTTTCAATGTTGCGTGTGATGGCATGGAACTGTGGTAGCGATGCCAGGGATGCTGCCGTCAAAGGAAGCTTTCTTGCCTCTAGCTGCATTCGAGAAAGAGAGCAGAAAATAAAAAACTAAACTAAAGTTTCATCAGAAAAAGAAATACCTCATTTCTGAACGAGTAGAAATCGTTGCTGCCTTTGATTTCTATGTCTAGCCCTGGCATACAACTTACAATAGAGATTTTTTCTGAAAATCATGAAAATTCATACCTTGGAGAAGACGTTCGTAAACAGCATCACGATTATTCGCTGCAGCCAGTGCCGTAGCAACTCCATACTCGATCGCATTTTCCACAAAGTCCTTCCTGGAACAGCAAAAATCCGAGTACTACTCGAGAACAAATAAAATAAAATAGAAACGTGTACTTCGTAGAAGGCATGTCTAGCTTGCAAGTCCGAAGTAAGAGCTTGTATGATCTCTCGGAATCCATCTGTGGAGAAGAAACCCTCACATCGATGAACGACTGCGAGCTCACAACGATCAGATCACCGTCCCAACAGCAAGATTTCGAGAAATCTTACCCAGAATTTGCTGGCGCCATCGCTGATCGAGTGCAGCGGCTTCACAGTGGCATAGAATCTAGCCGATGTGGAGAGAACAAGCCCCGGATTCGGCCGCTCCAGCACCAAATATCCGCCGGCGATCAAAACCTTGCCTGGAGCCGAGACTCTGGAATGGAAATGTCAGTGAGATCGAGACGAAGTCACTCGCTAGAAGAAGGCGCTTACATTGTCATGACGCGAGAAAAGAAAGAAAACCTCTGTTCTAGGGTTCTAGAGATTCGTTGTCTACTTATCATAATAACAAAGTAATTAATCAGCCACTTGTTATTAAGGCTTTCATAGCATAGTGGTAGTGCGTTCGCTTCGTAAGCGAGAGGTCGTGAGTTCGATCCTCACTGGAAGCAAAACTCTTCTAAATATTTCTAGGGCTCATCTTTAGTGGACTTTCTCAATGTTTCTTCAGTGGAAGAGACTGTGGAAGGCGCTAGTGCGGAAGCTCAGGCGAAAGCTAGGGATGGATCGCGCTCGAGTGGCGGCAGCTTCTCTTGCGGCGGCAATGGATCTGAAGCAGCCGGCATTGCCGATCTCTTTCCCGCTCACTTCTTTGGATCAGCTCACGGATGATTCCGTGTTCCAGAGCTTCCATTTCCCATTCCAGCAATGCTCGGTGCCGCTGGCGCTGCAGGGAGGGAAGAAGGAGAGGAAATCCAAGCTCTTGGTGTGCCACGACATGAAAGGAGGCTACCAGGATGATAGATTCGTGCAAGGCGATGGCAATTACAATGCTTACTCGCTCTGGCACTGGCAATGCATTGATGTTTTCGTGTATTTCTCGCACTCCTTGGTCACTATTCCTCCTCCCTGTTGGATCAACGCTGGTCACAAGCATGGAGTCCAGGTAAGAAACTTCACCATTCTTTGGCATCCATTTTTCTGACGAGATTATATCGCAGGTCTTGGGAACTTTCATCACGGAGTGGGATCAAGGGGCTCAAACTTGCAAGTTGCTTCTGGAATCCAAGGATTCGGCAAGAATGTATGCGTCTCGGCTAGCAAAAGTTGCTCGGGAGTTTGGATTTGATGGATGGCTGGTGAGCAAACAATCTTTTCTTCCCCTTTGTCTTATAGAAACGTTTTTGGTTGTTTCAGCTAAACATTGAAAACACTGTTCCGGTGGAGCAAATCGACACTCTCGTGGTGTTTGTATCGGAGCTCACCAAAGTCATGCACGACCTTGTTCCGGGCTCGCTGGTGATATGGTTGGATTGATAGTTTTCTTGCTTTCTTTGGTACTCACTTTCCATGAACAAGGTATGATGCAGTTACTGTGGATGGAGAACTAAAATGGCAAGACATGCTAACAGAGAAGAACAAGCGCTTCTTCGATGCTTGCGATGGGATTTTCATTAACTACACATGGAAGGTGTGTATATCATACTTATAAGCAAATCGTGAAATATCTCATTCTTATTTCTTGTTCCAGAGGGACTACGCAGCGAAATCGGCGAAAGTGGCTGGCGATCGAGCCTCCGACGTTTACATGGGAGTGGACGTTTTCGGGAGAAACACTTTCGGAGGAGGAGGATTTCAGGTAAGCAACGATGTTTGCATTGCGTTTCCAGAGACCAACTCTGGTAACTTTTGCTTGTCTAGAGCAACGTTGCTTTGAAAGTAGCGCTGGAGGCCGGTGTTTCGGCAGCATTGTTTGGTCCCGGGTGGGTCTACGAGAAAAATATTGGGCCAACTTTCGAAGACGCACAAATCAGGTACCTACGAGTTTAACTCGGTCTTTTTCTCTCTTTTTGTTTCTCACTCGGAACCTCCTTGTGGAAGGTTTTGGGCTTCTATACACAATGCCTGGCCCGTATCACACAGATATCCTGTTACGCTGCCTTTCTTCTCGGATTTCAGCCAGGTAGTAGTAAAAATCTTTGCGAGCAAAGTTTTCATGACGTTTGTTTTGCCAGGGTTTCGGGAAAGCCCTCTATGTAGATGGTGTCCAGGTATCAGATTCTCCCTGGAGTAATATTTCATGCCAAGCTCTTCAAGTATGGTTTCCTCTTCTATTGTTTTTTGTGACGATAACAATCTTGGTTTTGGTAGCCGCTTTTGCTTGGAGCGCTAGATCCAGAGTTTGAAGTTACTGTAAGGTAAAAGTTTCGCTGAGAAAACGAAGTTATCCCAAAGATTGTTCACATTCTTATTTTCAGATCAGTGGATCGAGTTTACAGCGGTGGATCGAGCCTCCGTTTCCTCGGAAAGCTCAAAGCTTCCGACGTTCGCATCACTAAGCTGTATGATCCACACCTGGTTCTCGCAAATCCTACTCTCTCCATTGACTTCTCGGTAGCGTTCTCAAGCCTCGCAAGCTCACGTTGGATCTTAACAGTGTTGCGCTGCAGGTCATGTCCAAGGAAAACGCAATCTTTTACCTCGTTCTTAAGTTGCAAGGCCCTGGAGGAATTCGCGTAGTGTTTTTCTCGAACGAGCACAGCGGCACCTCAGAGAAGAAGATGAATCAAAGCTCCTCCAGTTTCAGTGTCTTTGAGCCACACCGGACAGTGACGAAGAGCTCCGGTACCTCGGATGACGCCTGGAATGTGAGGGAGTACCAGATCGAGGTGGAACAAAACTCCGTGGTAACCGATATCTACGGCATGAGCACCACCAGGAACGCTCCTCTGGACTTCGAAGAGATCACAGGCACTCTGGCGGCCGAAAGCTCCTCCGATACACAGACCTCTTTTCGGCTTACCTCGTCTTCACTGACGCGGAAGTTCTTGCCGGACGCTACTCAACCATACGAGCTTCACTTGGGCCACCTGAGGATCACAGCAGAACCGCCAGCGCCGCCGACAGTTTCGAGCTTCCGAGCCGACGATCTCAAGTGGTCCACAAGCCCCGATGGCAATAAGCTCGTCAGCCTCACGCTCAAGTGGGAGTTTGGAGGTGGTTTCCAGGCCGATCGCTGCAACACATACGTCGAGATGGTGGGAAAAGAGACGACGAGCAAAGCCAAGTACCTTGGAGCTGCTTTCGTCGACGCCTTCTACGTGGATTCGCTTCTAGTTCCTCACGAGACTTCCAGCTTGGTTTTCCGCCTCCAGCCTCGCAACGCTGCTGGTTTTCACCAGGGCTGGAATGAATCTCCCACGCTCACTGTCGAAGTCCGTTGAAAAAAAAAAATAAAGTACTCTAGGCGAGTAGCGCCTGCTGGAGGATATCGTCTTCGACCGCCAGCCTCTCCAACACCATTTTGGCTCGTCTCCTCGACACCTCCTTGATCTGCCAGTCGCCGAGCATGCCAACCAGCTCTCTCACGTTGCAACAATCCGGTCCCGCTACAACGACCCTTCCAAGCCTGCTCCTCGCAGCAATCTCCTGGAGCTTGTCCGCGGCCCAGACACTGTCCTCTTCCCGGCCCGCCATCGCCAGCATCCTCATCAAAAGCTCCACGCAGTCGAGCGAAGATCCGTCGCCACCGTCGTTACTCTGTTCCTTCTTCGTCTTCTCGAGAATCTCCAGAGCTTTCGCAAAGTGAGCCACGGCCTTGTCTGGATCGCTGGCCTCCACGCCTCTTCCCGACTGGTAGCACCTCCCGAGCTCTACGTGAGCGCTCGCGCATCCTTCTCGAGCAGCCTGCTTGTAGAGCCCAAGCGCTCGCTTCTCGTCTCTGGCTATCCCGAGGCCGCTCTCCAGGCACATTGCGAGCTTCCACCTCGCTGATCCTCCTCCCGCGCAAGACGAGGCCTTGTAGTACCAGAAGACCGCCTGCTCAAACTCGTGGCCGGGACCGATCCAGTTCGCCATCAAGTCCCCTGCGATCTCTGCGGCCGCGCCGAATCCATCTTCGTGTTCTAGTTGCTCCACGGAGCTCGCTAGCCAGAGCACGAAGCTGTCCATTGGAAACGGCCAGAACCCGGGTCCTTTCTCCTTCTCGAGCATCGATATGAAGAGTCCTTCGCCAGCTTCTCGTTGTCGCTGCTGTTTCTCGTTGTGCATGAGAATGACGTCGACGAGGAACTTCACTCCAAGGTGGCTGGCGAGCTGGCTAAAGTCGGACATCGTAAGAGGAAGGATATCTTGGTGCTGCCATGACTGCCTTCTCGCAATGATCGCCTTAAGGCTCCTCAGCGCCAGGCAAACCTGCGTGAAGGACAGCCTCTGCTCTGGTTCGTGGCTCCAGCATCTACGAGCAAGCACCGCCAGGAACGCCGGAGAATGCCCAAGGATGTCGGGCCTGCCTCTCTCGACGCTCACCAGTTGAAAGAGCTGCGACTCGGTCGTGAGTTGATTGTAATCGGAGAATGGCCTGCGGCTCGAAAGTATCTGGAAGCAGAGCATACCGAAGCTGTAGACGTCGGACTTCTTCGTGAACGTAGCCTCGCCGGAGGAACTGGCTTCCTGCTGCTCAAAGACTTCCGGAGCTTGCCAGAACGGTGGCACATCATGCCGCTGCTGCTGACTCTCGAAGGTTTCCTGGTCGTCGTCGTCAGAAGCTACGCTCTGCAACCACGAGGATCCTGCCAGCCTCGTCTTTGGCAATCCATAGTCGGTGATTTTCACTTGGATGAACTCGTCCAGCTCGTGTTTGCTGCTCGAAGATCTTCTCCGCCGCCTCGAGTCGGTCGTGCTGGGAACGAGTAACACGTTGAAAGCGTTGAGACACCGGTGGAGAACCCCTCTCCTGTGTAGAAAAGCCATTCCTTCCGCTACTTGGAGCATGATCTCGACGGCTACTGGGAGTGGAACAGGACCTTGGCCGAGATTTAAAACGCTGTCCAGATCTTTCCGCAGCAGCTCTGTCCATAACCGGCATTCTCCAAATTCCTCGTCGTCGTTTGTTATGCTCGCAAAGAGAAGCTGAGCCAGGCGAGGATGGCGGAGACTCGCGAGCACCGACACTTCGTTCCAGAAGGACTCTCGGCTGAGAAAAGCCGTTACTTTCAGCGCGGCAGGAAATCCAAGAAACTCGGACTTGTAAACGATGCCAAAGAATCCTGTACCGAGTAGCAATTTCTCCGTTCTTCTGCTGGTGATATTATCCAATGCCCAGGATTCTCTCTGGTGAATCCTCTCGATGTAGGACTCAAACCCGTCGTCCTCGGCATCCAGCTTGGCTACGAGATAGCTGGTAATCTCCGCCACCCGATTCTCCTTCCTGCTCTTCGAACTAAAAACAGACAGGCCCCTAAAAAAGAAGCCGTCGTGCTTTTGCTTCATCTTCCGGAGCTTGTCTAGCAGATATCTTCGGTCCAGCCGCATTGCCAGGATCAATCCACGGTCCGCTTCCGCATTGAGTGTTTCCTCTGCTATCTCGAAAGTTCTTTCTATCATCCAGTATGGGACGTGGTGCTGATAGCTGCCGGTACCCAGCCTCTTCTTCTGGTGCTTGAAGGAATCGTCTCTCCCTGCTCTGAACTGCGCGAGGACAACTTCCATCACTGACACACACCATTGCTGGTGCTGGTACTGCTGCGCAACGAAGATCCCATCGTCCGCTGCATAAATGATTGCTTTCATCAGCCACGAGTCCTCAGCGTCTTCCTGTCCGGACGACACCCAGCAGGACACTAGAACCTCAGCGTCATGAGTGACTTTGGCTATTTCCACGGCCGCTGTTCTGCATTGCTCGCATGAAGTCGAGTCCAAGCTCGCCATCTCGTCAACCAAGTTCCTCAGATTGTCATGGAAGCTCTTCAAGAAAGGACAAAAGAGGAAAAGTCAGCCAGGAGGCAAAACAAACAGTACCTGCAGGTCGAGGAATCTGCACTGTGCGTGATTGAACCTCAAACTCGCGGTGCTCGCGCCAACGATCGAAGAGCTCCCAGCGGTGCTGCTGTTACACAGCCTGATGAGCCTTTCCAGTACCTGAATTGCTTGCTCCACGATTCTGATAGAGCTGCTCTCGCTGGACGTGGCAGAATCATACAAGGAGGAGCCCGAATACGAAGAAGGCATGGCCTTGATCATCAGCTTCCGCCTTGCTATTTGCATCAGAACTTTGGCTGGCAGATCCATTCTCTCTCCGCAACTGAAAAGCTGGAGTGCAGAAAAAGCCACAGCTCACGCCTGAGCAGTCCGCAACAGCAACATTCCTCTTGGCTTTTCAGTGGTCCTGGCAGTGAGGCACCCGATTTTCCAAGCCCGTGTTGGAACGCTTTATACCTCCAGATTTGAATATTTGTGTTTGGTGAGCCGAGCGTCCTCGTCGCAGCCAGGTACGCTCATGCTTGCTTCAGATCCGGACTTGGCAGTAGCCTTGCGTGGAGTTCACATCGAGATGAATAGTGGAGTCCACCACCTCGACATTAACGCCGAGGCCTTCTGGGTGACAGGGACCTTATCTTGAGCCGAAAGAACAACCTGTTCCCGTCCGCAAGAAGTTTCTAAACCCAACCGCGGGCTCACTTGGTAACGGACATCTCCCTCTCCGGATCATGGTCGATGGAGCTTTGTAGAATTAGCGACGTACACACTCGAGAGTGCAACGTAAGCAGCAGCCGAGTTTCGCGAGTTGAGTTGCACCGCTTGTTTCGCGGCACGCTCCGCTCTCGAGACGTCGCCGTGCATCTTGCAAGCCCCCAGCAGAGACATCCATTTGAAGTCGTCCACCACCGACGCAGGCATTTTCTTGATGAAATCCTCGGCCTCGAGCAGCCACCCCGCCCGTCCCAGCAGGTCCGCAAGGCAGCCGTAGTGCTCCTTCTCGGGAACTATCCAGTGGTCGCTCATGAGGCCGAAGTAGTAGCAGCCTTGCTCGACACGGCCAGTGTGGGTGCAACCGTCGAGCATTCCCATGAAAGTTCTACCGTCAGCTGCAATGCCTTCCAGCAGCATCATCTGAAAGAGCTCGAGAGTGCTGGCAGGGTCGCTGTGTACTGCGAAGGCTGCTATCAAAGTGTTCCAAGTCACGATCATTGCCGACGAATCCCAAGCCACGGAAGAAGAGATTGCGAGGAAGATCTCCCAGGCCTGTTTCAGCTTCCCAGACTTCCCATACATGCTCAGCAACGCATTCGCCACCAAGGTGTCTGAGATAGCTCCCAAAACCACCACCCGCTTGTGAAGAGCTCGACCAACTTCCAGGAACGATGAGTCGGCAGCACAAGCGTTGAGAAGAGCCACAAGAGTGACTTTCCTCACGGGATTTCCTTCATGCTCCATCTTCCTGAAGAGCATCACGCTGGAAGCCGAGTCACCATTGTCTGCACAGGCACCGATCATCGCTGTCCAGCAAGCGGAGTCCCTGTTCTGGATTCCAGCAAAGACTTCTCGAGCGCCATCCAAGTTCCCACATTTTCCATACATGCTGACGATGGTAGTGGCGACTGCGGTGTCGTGGCTCAATCCCTTTTCGGTCGACTGGGAGTGGATCGACCTGCCGTGAATGAGAAACTGGGGAGATTGACAGGCCTGGAAGACACCCAGGAAAGTAACTTTGCTCGGCCTGTGCTGTCCATCGAGGAGCATTCTCCAGTAAACTCCAAGTGCCTCTTTGTGATGCCCATTTTGGGCATATGCTGCGATCATAGTGTTCCAAGTGACAGTGTTCTTCTCGGGCATGACCAGGAAGACGTTCGAGGCGCTTCTCAAGGAACCAACCCTTCCATACATCGCCACAAGCGCGGTGCCCACTACGACGTCGATTTCCTCCAGCTCGATCCCTGTTCTTGATCTTGAGTCGTCGTAGAGGGAGTGGATCCATATCCCAAGGCGGAGATCGTTGCAGTTGGACAGAGCAGCCAGGAATGTCACGGCATTCGGCGCTACTCCCTGGAGCTGCATCGATCGAAAGAGAAGGATCGCTCCTTCGCTACTGCCGGGCGATATTTCCCTGGATTCCGAGTGCGCGGAGATGAGAGCGGTCCAGGCAACCACGCCGGGCGCCGCGATTGCATCGAACACAACGCGCGCGCTGCGAATATCACCGCATTTGCCATACATGTTAAGGATCGCCGTCGCGAGCTGTGAATCGCGGCAATACCCGGATTCCTGCGCACACCTGTGGATTACCCGGCCCTGCTCCAAATCCCGGGCTGCCGCGGCCGCATTCCCGAGCGCCACGAACATCCGGCGGTCGGGAGCTATCCCTTCGAGCTGCATCTGGCGGAAGAGCGCCATCGCCTCCCTCGATCGGCCACGATCCACAAGCATTCCAAGAATCCGCGTCCATGTCGTCGACGGAGGAGGAGAAGCGAGCGACGTAGAACAAGAAAAATCCCCGCTAGGGTTTTGCATGGGAGAGAGACGAGCGAATCTTAGAGAATATCCGCTGAAGAAACTGGCGGTCACGTGTCGCTCTCAAGGCCGTTGGATTGGATGAGGAATATTCCACCACAATTCCACGCGGATGGTCTTAATGCCGGCGACCCTGTGCCATACAGAGTGAAGAGAGAGAGAGAAGGGAGAGGAGAGGGCATTAGGGCTTTTGGGCACAGATTTCTAGAGAAGGCGAGGGCGGCAGCGCTGGAAGGGAGCTAGAGATCGGCCGCTTGCCGACGCTCTTGTGAGCAACAGAATGCCTGGCGATTCGGTTTGTGAAAATCTCTCCTCTCCTCTCTCAGATTTTAGGTCCATTTCGCTGGCGGCCGCTTGAAATGTGATTTGGTTTGTGCGTGTGCTTGCGTCGCTGCTGTGTGCTTGTTCTTCTTCCGGAATTTCTGTGGTTTCTAATTCCTTTCCTCTTCGATTTTTTTGCCAGCAGCCCGTTTGTATGGCGCTGGAAATGCCCGACGAGATGAGCAGCTGCAGCTGCTCCAATTCCGACCACGAGAATTCGCGGCCGAGCAGGGGTGTGCGATTGTTTGGAGTGGACCTTTTGAGCAGCGAGGGCATGAGGAAGAGCGTCAGCTTGAGCAACCTCTCTCACTATGCGACCGCCTCCTCCAACAACATTGGCATGCAAGAGCATCTGGATACCACCGATGGCTACGTCTCAGATGGCCTCGTCCAGACGAATTCCAATGCTCGCGCAAGAAGAAAAGGTGCGTGGTTGGAAGAAAAAATCGATCTTTCTTTGTTCTAGGCTGACTTCCTGGCCAATTTGTTTGTTTGTTTTTTTTTTTTTTTTTTCTTCTACAGGAGTTCCATGGACAGAAGACGAGCACAGGTTGTTTTTACTAGGCTTACAGAAGCTAGGAAAGGGTGACTGGAGGGGCATTTCGAAGACCTTCGTCACGACTAGGACCCCGACGCAGGTTGCTTCGCATGCACAGAAGTATTTCATTAGACAGAGCAACTTAAGCAAGAGAAAGAGGCGCTCGAGCTTGTTTGATATCTCCCCTGGACAAGTAAGTTCTTTCAAACACTTACTGCTCTTTGGTTTCTTACTCTCACTTCCTTCTCTTCAGGATTTGAGCTTGCCAGACTCGGCGCTCGCTAAAAACGTGAGCTTGCAAACGTCCTTTCTGGAGCTGGGACTGGGACACGACCGCGTCGCGATCCCAGTGGCGCCGCCGCTGGAGAAGATAATGGAAGAGAAGGTGTTCTTCCCATCACAGGAGGGCGGTAACCCGAGCAACGGCGTTAACTTCGCGGAGGACAAGGATGATCCAGTGGCAACGAATGAAGAGCCAGTGCCAGGCACTGGCACTGGCGCTGTTGCTGCCCCTCGAGGTATCACCATCGATGCGCCAGCTCCAGCGCTTTGGCTAGATTTAAGGTCGCAGGCAAGTGCTATGCCCTCGGAGCAGCAGCAAAACGAGGCCCTCGGCCCGCTCAAGTCCAACGTTGTGAAGCCAGTGGCATCAATCTCGACGGGGCCAGTGAGAATTATGGAGGACAGAGAACTCGCAGCGACGGGAGGGCCATCGATGCTGTCGCTCAAGCTGGAGCAGCCCGTAAGGCACTCGGCGTTTCACGTGAGCTCGGCATTCGCGAGCGCTGGAGCAGCGGCGGCAGGACTGGAAGCTCCAATCCAGTGTACGTGATGGATGTGAGATCTCTCTCTCTCTCTCTCTCTCTCTCTCTCTATTTCTCTCTTTCTCTTAGAAGTAATCAAGGGAGAGATCATGAACTGACGAAGGAAAGCTAGTACTACACTTCTTTTTACTTTCTTTTTTTCTTTTTTCTTTTTTTTCTTCTTTTTCCTTCCGTAAGCAACAATAAGAGCCAACTTGAAAACTGTATTTATTCTAATTCAAATTTAAATAAATTTCTCTCAGGGAAATAGCATAAGATTCTAAACAATGGTCATAACCGCAATAATGCTAATAACTTAATGTTTAGCAAATGTCTTGGAACAAATCCACGTTCTCGTTTGATTGCTGCTTTCTCGACGTCCGGTAATGTTGGAACCCTAACTGGCTAAAGTTCTCTGAGGGTATTAGAACATCTTCCAGATCTTTCTTCCCAAACTCCTTCCTCCACGCTCTAAGAGCCTTGGCCAAATACTCAAGCGAAGGAGGGTCGTGTGTAATCTTCCCCAGCGTCTGTGGTGGTAACACAAAGTCAAAATCTGCATTGTTTTTGCGCAGAGGCCTCCACAGATACTGATCAGCGTCCCCACCCTGTCAAGTAAACAAAGAAATCGGCTTATAAATGTACACATTTAAGTTCTTCTAAAGCTAACCACTTGAACGTAAAGCAGCCTCATGAAGTTCTCCCTCGTAGTAACGAAGTGGCCTCGCTGTTGGAGCAAATACGAGTCCGGAATCCAACACCGCCTGGGCAATCACGTATTGCTCAAATATGAAACCCCATAGCGCCGAGTACGAGTCTGGAAAATCGCGGCTAGCCTGAAGAAACTTTCTGACCTTGTTGATGGTGAACATACAAGACCGCCACATTCTCCAAGCAGAATGTGAAGTGGAACTTTGAGAACCAAGTACATCTCGGAAACTTGAATGCTTTGGCAATATGGCATCTACATCTATATGCTTCAACTTCGTATTCCCAAGAGCAATGGCCACGTCCTGGCCAATGTTTTCTTCTGTCAGCTGCTTCACTTTCCCAGTCCCAGACCGAGGAATGCCTCCAAACCAATCGTAGACCATGTTTTGCAGCGCCGACCCTTCTGAATATCTCCGATTTGTGTTTTTCCGGAAGCCGCTGCTTCCAGGATTAGCACAAGCCGTCCCATGGAGCCATGTAGCGAACATGAGTCTGGCGGTGTTTCATAGCTTCTTTCGTGTTATTCATGCGGCAAGGAGAGCCCGCTGTCCGATGACTCGCCCGTAGTTGTACTTCTCGTTGATAAGATGGAAGCTTACATCGTCAGCAATGACGGCATTGAATGGATACTGCTTTATGTCGATGATGCGGACGCATGCCCCACGGAACTCCCAAATCAGCCACCCCGACTCGAGTATTAAAACCGAGTTGGGCTAATCGTTACCCATCCTTACGATGAAGTACCAGAGGGAAGCAGACTTTCCCACCCCCCGAGTTGCCATTCAAGAGACGTAGGACGCCTGAGAGGAGTACGGTTACGACCTCCTGAAATAATCAAAGCACTTCCTCAACCTCCGCGATAGCCGCGTCCACGAAACCCGATCGAACAGTGAACTTACAATACTAACCAAAGACACCTTACACACTTGTAAGACCCTCTTTCTTATTGCAAAAAGCGCACCGAGAGCGAGAGAAAATGAAGCTCTGGGAAATACAGGTGTGGACGTGTATACAGTAGAAGGTGAACAATAATGGAGCCTGTGACTTTTACACCAAAAGTTTTGTACGATTACATCCTCTCATTTTGGGATCAAGAGTATTACAACTTCAAATTGTTGATTAGAGGGACCATGAGTGGTGGTCTGATTCAATGCAATTCGGCGCTGTCAAAACATGTATTATTACTCTCTAATGTTGCTGGTAACAGAAGCTGCCTTGTAATCCAGACAAGAACGTTATGAACATCCAAGTAGAAGCATCCACCTGGAGGGAAGAAGAGGCAAAATGCCCGTGCTGGACCACTCGAGAAACTCGGCCCATCCCTTTCTTCCTGGAAACACATTTGTTTGCTGTGCTCGTTTCCAAGCTCGGGCACAGGCATTGTTCCAGTCCAATTGTACGCCACCCCACGCACTCTCGTGACCTAGAAAACATGGCAGTCGCAGAGCCCTCCTCTTGTGGATGGATGGATCCCCTTATCCTTTATTTTGTTCTTTCCATCTTTCTTCTCTCATTTTTCTATTTTTTTGTCTCAAACCAAAGGGTAAGATTCTCCAAGGCCGCGCGCAGGAGGAATGTACAGCGACTTAATCTTGTAGTAAATCCAGCGCAGGATTCACAAGGAATGAATCAAGTGGCGACAATTGCAAACATACCTCACACACACACACACACAGAGACTGAGAGAGAGCTTTTTGGGCGGAATAAACAAAACCAGCTTCTTTGAGGCTTACAACTCTCGAGGCATCAGCCCACGACGTTGTTGGTTTTTTATAAATTTTACTCCCCCAGAGAAGAAGCAAAGATTAAAACCCGAGCTCGTTTGTTTGCGATTTGGAATGCGAACGTACAATAAGACAAGTGCAAGCTTCTTAAGACAAGGACGTGGACAAAAACAACGAATCCTAAAGTTGGTATTTTAGAATAGGAGATTTCCCGCAGCCAAGAAACGTATACTATTCTAAATCTTGCGCTTTTGTCCGTGTACTCTTGCAAGGGGCATCTTTTCCCAAAGCTCACGGGGTGCCATGCAAGTACGCATGGAATCTACAGGGAATAATCACAGCAAAACAACGAGCACAACAAGACACCTTGATTCCGCAGAACATGCTACTAACCTCGCCGTCTTTGGCCTTTTATGCTGCAATTATCAAGACCTTTCACTCTTAACTTCTTCTACCACCTTTGTTTTCTATAGATTTTTCCTTCTGGACAAACAAAACACTATAGACTTTTCTCATGTGACTTTGTCGTGGCTGGAGCCATGGATGATCGGATTGGATCTTTTGGATCCTTGGATCATTTGCATCGGAGAAGATGTGAAACACATATTATAGGATTTTACAAAGTTTTGAGCCGCGCAAAAGCTCTCTCTTTCGAGGACGAATCTTGTCAGTTCCTCCTGGGGAGTCCACAGTTTTTTTGCTTCTCTCTTTCATCTTCAAGTGAGAGCAGCAGGCAAGGTTCTCGAGCCGAAAGGACTGAAAATCTTGCTCGATCATTTTTTAATTCATCTTCTTCTTCTCCTTCTTTTGTCTTTGCTCAATCCCTCGCGCCGGTTCGGGTACGAGGAAATTCACACCCTCTCTCGTGCATCGATAGTTCAATGCATGAACCCTCTTTCCACTTTCTTTCCATGCACGCAAGTTTAACGCCACCCCCTGCGCGCGCGAGAGAGTGACCGGGCGTAAATTGTTTGATAAGATTCTCGCGAATAAAACTGGAGATGATAGAGAGATCGAACCTTTAAATGTGAGATTCCACGCCGGAGATAATTCACACGCCTGTAAGAACGCCGCGCGGCCTTTGATCAGTCGGCTTGAAAACAACTCGTTTCAGCTTCTAAGACAAAACCTTCTTTCGTCTGCCAGGAGGAAGGAGATCTGGCAACTCACTCCTGCGCGCCTGCGCTCCAGGATGATCACGACTCGTCGCCGCATTTATGAAAGTCATATGAAAGTGTTGCTCGCAAATCATCCTCCGCTTTTCCCTGCAATCAATGGAATTAGTAAGCTCATCACGAGCAACACAGCCGAGTCCCGAAAAGCAGCATCATCACGGATGCTTCGCCACGCACATAATTCAACGACAACATTCCCCCATACCTCGAAAACTTTGGCTGCGTGGGAGATGCCGGCACATATTCCACCGCGCGGTGGCAGGAAATAAAAATGCCGGGGGGACCACGCCTGTCCTTCACAAGTCCGCGGACGGTCCGTGACGGGCGCCGCCGGACGCGTTTCCCACGCACTGGCCACATGAGCCGCCGCAGCTCGCCGCACGCGTCTGGAAGAACAAACTAAGTTAGTGGAAGTTTTTTTTAAAGTCTAGCGTGTGTGTTGGGAGCACCTGTATAGAAGAGTTCTTCTTCTCCTTCTCCTTCTTAGGTACTCCTGTTCCTTCTTCTCCTTCTTCTTCATTCGTTTTCGTGCGTGAGTGTGGCCGCGGAGAAAAGCTTTGGATGATTGCTTCGCGTCTCGCAAATCTTGGCTCGCAGCATCTCCCTTCTTTGTACTGAAGCGTGCTGCGGGGATTCTTTCTGCAAGAGTTAGCTACCGCGCTCGAAGGCAAGACGAACCTGGCAGAGCTCTCGCATGTGTGGCAGAATCAGGCGTTTCTACGGACACCATTCTTCCGCTCGCAATGTGAATCTTTGCGCACTTCGCCATTCACTGCTGCCACTGCTGCAGGGAGTTAGCTAGTTAGAAACTTATATCAGTCTGAAAGGGGGAGAAGAAAAGAAAGTTCACTCACCTGTGGCGTTCTTTGTCCGAATTGATGCGCCTCGAGTTCCTTGGTACTGTCCAAGAAGATCAGCAAGTTCAAGTCCTGGACTCCTCCAATCTAAAGCTGGAGAAGCAGCAGCATCATCATCAGCAGCAGCAGCCGCAGAATTTCCGTCTTCCATCGTTCTGCCTTCGAGCAAGGATGGAACTCTCCTTCGACACAAGCGAAGGCGGACTGCTAGCAGTGGACTCGCACCGCTCGGTGCCAGCTCCCTTCCTCACCAAAACTTTCCATCTCGTTGACGATTCCAGCACGGACGACGTCGTCTCCTGGAGCGAAGACGGTACCACGTTCATCGTCTGGCGACCCCCGGAATTCGCCAAGGATATCTTGCCGAATTACTTCAAGCACAATAACTTCTCCAGTTTCGTCCGGCAGCTCAACACCTACGTGAGTCTCGCATACGTTTTCTTTCCACACCTCCTCATAGTTCTTTGGAGTTCAGTCCCTTAGTTCTTCACTTGCAGTACTCAGCTTCAGCTGTCAATGATGTTGCCCACTGAACTTCGTTCTTGTCGACTCGCAGGGATTTCGAAAGATCGTCTCGGACAGATGGGAGTTCGCAAACGAGTACTTCCGCAAGGGACAACAGGACCTCCTCTGCGAAATTCATCGAAGGAAGACCGGGCAGCCGAACACGATGCAACCAATCCGACAAACCAGCACTGCAGAAGATATCCTCTGGTCTCACGTCACCACCACCTCTCCAGTCCCATCCCCACGGGCTCCACACTTCACAGCAGCAGTGTCCATCTGCGACGAGAACGAGCGACTGCGCCGGGACAACTGCATTCTCATGTCGGAGCTCTCCCGCCTCCGAAGGCTCAACGACGAAGTCCTCCTGTTCGTGCAGAACCAAGCTCGGATGCCCCTCCAGCAGGATCTCAGCTGCATCAAGTGGCTCAAGTACAACACCCTCCCACCACTGCTGCCACCGCCACCGGCTTCTCCAAGATTCGAGGAAATTGTCGAGGATCGCAGGCCTGCCACCAGAGTCGCTCACAGCAGCCGCCTGTCTTCCATCGTTTCAATGGCTGCCACCAGGTCGACTTCCGCTTCTACGCCTTACGTGAAAGACACTCCACCGAAGGTCCCAACACTGTGCTTGCTGGAGAGCAAGGCCAAGGAGCTCTCGTCCTCTACGACCGATGCTTCTTCCAAAGTCACTTCATCGAGCTCGTCCGATGATTCGCCCAAGCTGTTTGGAGTTCCTCTCAACGGGAAGAAGAGGCCACACTCCCCGAGCAGCGACTCGTCGTCTCAGGCACGGCTAAAGAGCCCGCGGCCGGATATTTCACTCCAGCTCGGCACGGATCCCTGTTGGTTAAAAGTTTGCAAATCTGTCAGTGAGAAAATATTCATCTGACTTCCCAGGTGATAATTACCCAATACCCGTTGATGCAAAAAAGTACGCGTCGATTTAGCTGATTGTAACGAAAGTCGTTAGAAGGAAAGAACAAAAAAGAGCAAAGAAAAATCTGCCACAGGCAGCAAATCAATCGCCCAGTCTTGTATGTGATCTACGTGATCATACTTGTTTGCTTGCAGGAGTTTTGGATCTTCTTCTTCTAGACGGTGGTCTTTCACCTACGTTGGGATCACTTCCATCATCTGGATCATGCTTTGCAAACAACTCTGGGCTTGCTTCCATGCACGCTTGCATGGCTAGATAAGGCTCAATGCAGTCTGACCCCTGGACATAGAAATTGACAATGAAAAAAGGCACGAAGACGATGCGATGCATTCTCTCTCGTTTTCTTTTCCATTTCTTTTTCCCTCGCTTGCTTCTGCCATGCACAGCTTTGGATATGAGCATGGAGCTACGTACCTTCTCTTTGGCCGTGCTCTTGAAGTAGCACACGAAAGCCTCGCTAAATTGCTTTCCACAGGGGCCCTCACGGAGATCAGCGACGCAGGGACATTCCAGAGCTTTGCGCGCCATGTCGTCGAGAGACTGGATCAATCAACGCGAAGAATGTGAGAATCTCTAGTCACGGCATTTTCGAAAGGCAAGAAAAAAGCATCACGAACCTCTGGCTCCTTCTCGCTCTCCGGTTGGACAGTAGCTTCTGCGAGAGAAAAAGCTTTAGTCTATAGTTCTTATAGAAAACTAAAGGAAAAGGCTGTATCTTCTAATGAAAAAAGAGTGACAAGCACGCAAGAACACGAAAGATCACCAGAAACCACTCACCGATCACAAGAAAGCACTCTCGATCCACGAAATATCACACGACAGACAGGAATCACGATCGCGAGAGAAAATACCTTGCGCAACACCTTGATCCGCCTCTTCGTTTCCCTGCTGCTCCATCCCCATCGCTAGGCTCGAGCTCTTAGGGCAATGCTATGGCGGACGATTCAGCAATGGCGATCTATCACGAGCGCCAGCGCCTCCAGCTCTGCCTTCTCCACGCGCTCAACAATCTTCTCCAGGTAAGCAATGCCAAGCAAGAACCCTATAATATTTCTTCTCCTCCCCTCTCTCGCCGCTACTAGGGCCACGATCGATTCACTCGACAGATCCTCGACGCCATAGCCGATTCTCTGGAGGAGCAGCACGCCACACCCTGGAGCACGCGAAATCTCTTCTTACCGTCCAAGCAGCACAGAAATCCCTTGACAGGGAACTACGATGCCAATGTCCTCATGGCCGCTTTGTCGAGCCGGGGACTGGAGGCGCGCTGGCACGATCGACGCAGCGCCATCGCCGACGACGATCTATCCCGCCCCAATCTCGCGGGCCTCATCGCCAACACGAGCAGCCAGAGGTTCTTGGGGCTGTGGAGGAGCCGCCACTGGATCGCTCTGCGCCGCGTCCACGGATCTTGGTACAACCTCGACAGCGATTTGCCGATGCCAGTGGCAATGCGCGGCGCCGACGAGGTCAGAGATTTCCTAAACTCCCTACGCGATCAAGGAGCCGAGCTCTTCTTCGTTTTTAGAAAGGAAGAACAAGGGGATGAATAGAAGATTCTAGGCTGTGCCCAGATCCAAACCGACGCGGCCGATTCGATCGATCATACTTCTTCGCTCCAGCCTTCTTCCGTGAGAATCGCATTGAAGACTCGGTCGATCCTGGTGCCCAGAGGGGGCAAATTCTCGCCATCGCGCTCTGCCTCTTGGATCACTCTCTTTCTCAGAATGGCGAGGCCTTCCTTGATCACCTGGTTTTCTTCTCGGGCCAGCGCGGCACACTGACCGTTCCGGTGATTCGCCAATTCGTGCTCCATTGATGAAAGATATCCTGCAAAGAGAACGAGAGGGACGCCCAAACCAAAATATTTGATTGCTGGCCGAAATAACTCTGCCACCATCTCTAACCCTAAAACTTTTAAAGCCATGGCAACGCTCTTTCAGGAATATCGAAATTTGTTTTTGAAATTTAAAGATTTAAAAGTTTAACAACATATAAGAAAACTGATTAAGAGCTTGTTGGAGGAGGAGCAAGAGGAGCATGGCAATCCCAGTAAAAACATTGAGTCTTTCCATCATGACCGCTAAAGCATCTTCGCCATGCTTCAACAGGATCTAAAAAACAAAAGACCGAAAAGTTATTTGTGGGGAAAATTGCTCTGAAGAGAAAATTATAAGAAACAATCTTACTTCCATCAGGATCTGTCAAAGTAACATGTTCAGGAGCACCAGGAGCTGGAGTCGGAGGAGAATTCTTCCCAAGAACACATCCGGCCAAAACAAAAGCGAAGAAGCAAATAAAGAAGATAGATTTTGCTGAAGCCATGTTGAACCAGCTGACTTTTTGTGAATAAATTTCAAGCTTCAAACCCCACATATTTATAGTAATACTTTGGTGGCAAAAATAAAACACTCTAGGATAACGTTTATTTTTGAAATATGTATGCGACCATGCTTAACGAAAACAATGGTACAAACATTCTAGTTGTCTTTACAACTCGGTTTTGGGGATGGAAGGTCTCTTTGCAGTGGGGCGTGTGATCTCCTTGGCGGTGTCTCTGTAGTACATGTTATACAACTCCCTCGAGTAGCGTACGAAGTTGTAGAGGAAATCTACACACGGCAAACTCTACTGTCACGCCAAAGTTTTTCAGAGAGACCATACCTGGATTTTGCTTCTGGAGGTAGTCGATCTGGATGGGCGAGAAAAGGCTCTGGAGCTGCTCGAAAGGCTCAAACCGCGGCCTCTGCAAGGATTTCTCGGGCTCTCGGTCCTGCTGCTCGACGTGATCCCGGAGCTCTCGATCATCGCTGGGAGCCTCGACTCGATCGGGCAATGCAGTCTTCGCTTGGCAGGAGCCCGTTGTTTTGCTGCATTTCTTTATCCATTCGGACGTATTCGTCAAATCTGCGTCCACGAAGATTGTCTTAGACGATCACAAAAGTCTGTTCTACTGCCTCATACCTGCGAAAGGCGTCCTAGTTCTCTTCTGTTTCTCTCGCGCTTGCAAGCCACCTGATGGAATAACTTACGTAAGTTCGATATGAAAACCATCAAGCGAGCTATACCTTTGATGTCACACTTGATCTTGAGAGACGCAGCACCGAGAGGAGTGTCGTTGTTACAGAAAACTCTGATCGGGCTGGACACTGTGCTCCCGAGAAGTAGGCGCTGGTCGTCATAGGCAGCGAGCAAGAATCGAAAAGTAGAAGCTTCTCCTTTCACCGGGCAGACATGCGTGCTGGCTTCGTCGATCGCCACGTACAAGTTCCTTGGAGATTTTTGCGTGCCAAAGCGCTGGAGTCCGCGAAGAACCGGACCTTTGCAAGGATTTTTGGAGTTCTTGCACTTGGAGCGCGTCACTGGGATCCATTTGTAGCTCTGCTGCTGCGTAGATTTTTCCTGGTAATCCTCGATCGGCGACGAGTAGACGAGCAGAATGAAGAGATCTATCCTGTTCCCTTGGGTGAAACGGACCTGGAATTTCAAGCAGCTCTCTCGAAGCCGATCGTCGACGTCAGCCGGTCCGACTGGGATCTGGACAGTCTCGGAGATTTTCAGCTTCGCGCTCGAGGAAAGCGCGTCTCGTATGATCAGCTTCACGCGATTGTAAGAGCACTTGTGCTTGCCCAGCTTGTAGGCCCTGGATGAATCAAAGAAGCGAGGGAGAGAGAAATCGGTGAGAATTCGTCGAAATGTGGCAAGATTCGCGCAAGAACCGCGAGGCAATAGCTCAAGAAAGACGAAATCTCAGCGCCAGGCGCCAAAGACCATACCTTGCTTCCGGCTGCTCCTTGATCGCACGGGGCAAACCGGTCGCCACGCAGCAGCACACTTCCGCCTCATCGTCCAGAATCCGCGACTCGCATTGGACGAGGGGATCGATTATCGGCGAATTACCGCCATCGCCAGCGCCAAGCTCCCCATCGCCATCGCCAAGCTCCTCCATACTAGTAGCCTACATTCTACCCCCATTCAAACCACAGAAGAAACCCTCCGCCCAATGAAACGCTGCCAGCTGCGCAAACCCCCAAAGATCGAGCATTCTTTGATTTACTGTACGACCAAGGGCCACAGTTAACTTCCGTACACTCTAGGGCTAGGGTTTGTCGATGATAGATCGTCGCGATGGCCGAGAGCGTAGAGCCGCGGAGGACGATCGGCGCCAGGGTTTTCCTCAAACTCAACCGCAATGGCCACATCCTGGGCGCGATTTCGGCGGCGCTGGCAGGAATCATGCTGGTGGTGAAGATGAAGAAGGCGGAGGAGCTCCTCAATGAGCACAGGACGGGGCTTTGCGGCCTGTCCGATGGAATGGCGGAGGAGAACCGGCGACTGAAGCAGGGATTGATGAGCCTCCGGCAGCGTGTGCTGGATGAGGTGAGCCGGGATGGCAAGAAGCTGCCGCCATTGCCCACCAGGCTCAAGCAGATTTTTGATTCGGTGCAATGAGCATCGAGAGCTCTGTTCCAGGTGAGGAAAACTCTTCCTTTTTTCCAATGCGGCATTCTTCTCTTCTCTCTCTGTTCTTCATCGACAGACTTGAGCTCTCGATCGATTAAGTGGCGTTGTGAAGAAGAAATTTTGGAGCAGTGGGCCTGCTTCTCGCAACTGGTGAAATAATTAGATTCTCTTCTCTTTCGTTTTCATTCTGTATCTCCTTGAGCAGGATCATCCAAAACATTTTGCTTCGATAGATCCGCAGTGATGCTCAAAACTGGTGGAACGAATAAATTCCTTTTCTTCGTCTTCGCGTGAGCACGATCGATCGATCTGTGATAGCAAAGTTTGGAGCAGTGAGTGATTCGCAACTGGTAAACGCAGTATATTTTTAGTTTTACCGCAGGATAATGATCAAGCTGGTCGTTTTCCTCCTCTTCTACTTCGTCGAGATTGAACTACTGTCCAATCGTCCTCTGGGGCCTCGGTTTCGTTCGATTTATCGATGTCCATTGTCTCGGGAATGCTTGCTGGTTCTTTCTCAAGGTTGCTCGTCGATGAGAGCTCTGCGACCTCTCCACTCTCGTCATCGTTGCTTTCCTGCGAGAAAAACGCTGCCACTGTCAAGTTTCTCTGGCGATCGAAAAGCCCAACCTCTGTATCCTTGCAAATCGATTTTTTCTGAGCTCCGGAGCTAGGATTCGCCGACAAAGCCATGCTCTTTACGCGCTCGAAGTTCCCGACACCGCATTCTTCGTTCAAGAACATCACTATTTCCGCTACCTGTGTTCGCACAAATCCATCTAGAGTCGAGCGTTTCCAAAATCTCACATTTACCTCTTCGTGACTTCCATCTTCCAGATCCGTGTTAAACGATTCACTCATTGCGTCCTCGAGCAATGCTTCCAGATCGTCGATATAGAGCGTTCCTGGGAATTTGCCCGAATTTGAGAATTTAAGACGAATTTGAGAGGATTTCCTCGTACCTTTGGTCTGCGTGAGGAAGGAAACTACATCCTCGACCAGCTGCTGCGATTTCTGGACAGAATTGCGGCCGCCCCACTCATTCTCCACGGCCAGCTGCAGCGCTGTCCACCGCGAGAAACACAGCCGGATCCCTTCGGCCAGCATTCCAAGGCGCTCGTCGTTCCATCGCGCCATTCTTGCAAGAACCCTAAACCCAGAATTAGAACCCTAGTTGCTCCGTGTTCTAGGGCAAGGAGGAGCTAGGGTTTTCGGAGCGGCAAGAGGTATGTCGGTGGATTCTTGGCGAGCGAGTCTTTAGCTTCCTCTCCACTCTTGCAGATGGCCGATGCGTCCAACAAGAAACGCGGCGCGCTTCGGCAGATTACCAAGGACGATCGGGCAGACGACGACGAGGAGGATGCCTCTCCATCGGAGCAAGGGACATTCGCGAGGGCCAGCGACGAGGTACTCGCGACGAGGAAGATTGTCAAGGTCCGGCGGAGTTCTTCCACGGCAGCAGCGCCATCGGGGCCGAATTTGTTCGCAAACATCCAGCTCGTAGCTCCCAGCACCGCTCCTCCGGTGGTTTCTTCCACTCCAGCTCCAGCTCCGGTGATGGATTCGCCAGTGAAAGATCCGGGCGAGAATGCGAAGGATGGAGGAAAGAATGCGAATGGAAACGGCAACGCCAAGGAAGAGGAAGAGAAGCAAGCAAAGGAAGAGGTGGCTCCAAACGAGAATGGGGAGGAGGAGGGTGGCAATCCAGGGAAAGCTCCAGTGGCAGCGGCGCTACCAAAATCCTTCGATCAAGTCTCCTCCAGCGCCAACGCATTTGGATCTTTCGGCACGGCCTTCTCCACCTCGAGCTTCTCCTTCTCGACGACTGGATCATCGTTTAGCTTCGGGAGCTCGCCGGCAATGGGCTTTGGTTTCTTTGGCTCCTCCACCACCACCACAACCACCGCGACGCCAGCCGAGGGAGGGAAGTTCCCACTCTTTGGACAGGCGCCGCCGAGCAGCGGCGACACGGCGGCGCCGCCATCGAGCAGCGGCGGCGGTGGCGGTGGCGGCGGCGGACACCCGACGGTGTCGCTTCAGGAGGTTCCGGTCGAGACGGGGGAGGAGAACGAAAAGGCGGCGTTCTCCGGCGATGGGATCCTGTACGAGTTCGTGGACAAGAGCTGGAAGGAGCGGGGCAAAGGCGAGCTCAAGCTCAACTTATCCGAGGATTTGAAGAAGGCCCGGCTGGTGATGCGATCCAGGGGGAACTTGAAGCTGCTGCTCAACGCCAGCCTCTTCCCGGACATGAGGATGAGCAAGATGGACGGGCGGAGCGTCACGTTTGCGTGTGTCAACAGCGCCGCCGCCGCCGCCAGCGCCGCCAAGGATGGCAAGGCTGTGCTTACCACGTACGCCGTGAAGCTGCGAGACGCGGCCGGGATTCCAGAGTTCCTGGGGCTGGTTGAGGCGCACAAGGGGATCAGGCCGGCGGCGGAGGTGGCGGAGGCGGCGGAGGAAGCGGAGGAGGTGGCGGCGGTGGAACAAAAGGCTGATGATCAAAGTGGCAGCGAAGATGCTCAACGAAACGGTGGCGAGGAACAAGCGCCAAAAGAAGAACAGGTGTGAGCGAGCGATCTTTCTACATTTTGTTGTGTGCTTGCGATCGATCGATCAACTTCAAAACATTGATATTTGATTGAAATAGACTAATCGGAAGAACAAAGTGATAGCCACCATGTCGACCATGTCCGCCACCACGTTACTATCGTTACCATCGGTGATACCGGCGTTGGTAGTGGGGCTGGCCCTGGAACTGGAACGTGACCCTGCGCATCGTCAAGGTGGACGTGATTATACCACATGTGAATTGGCGTCATAGCTGTCTATCTAGGGTTTGTGAGATTCGATTTCATACGGTAGAATATACTAGAAGAAGAATATGCTTTTAAAGATTCGATTTACTCTAGAAGGAGAATATTCTAGCTCTTGCTCTTGCGCTAGGGCTAGGGTTTGCTTCCGGCTATGGCGAAGAGGCGACCGAGCATTTCCAGCAGCAACGGCAGCAGCAGCGACGACTCCGAATCCGAATCCGACCACCGCTCCAGGCGGCGCCACGGCCGACGCCGCGAGCACGAGAAATCGAGGTCAGTCTCGCGTCACAAAACCTCCACTAGCAGCAGGGACAGGAAATCCAAGTCCAGCAGCAGCAGCAGCAGCAAGCACAGCAAGAAGAAGAAGCGCCGCCGCCGCGCGAGATCGCCGTCGCCCTCCTCCTCTTCCTCTCCGTCGTCCTCTGCCTCGTCGGAGCTCAACGATGGCGCGCCATCGGACGACGCGCGCGGCGGGGATGAAGCCGGGGAAGAACAGGACTCCGCCAAGAAGATGCTCGAGATTGACGAGGAGGCGATCAAGTTCCGGGGGCTGCTCGAGGCCCAGAAGAAGGCCGCGATGGGATCTCTGGAGAGCGAGCCCATGGTCGGCCCGGCTCCGGCGCCCAAGACGGAGCGGCACATAAGCTACGGAGGAGCGCTGCGGCCGGGAGAGGGAGACGCCATCGCCCAGTACGTCCAGCAGGGGAAGCGAATCCCTCGCAGAGGAGAGGTGGGTCTCTCGGCGGACGAGATCCAGAAGTTTGAGTCGCTGGGCTACGTGATGAGCGGCAGCCGGCACCAGCGCATGAACGCGATTCGAATCCGGAAGGAGAACCAGGTGTACAGCGCCGAGGACAAGCGAGCGCTGGCCATGTTTAACTACGAGGAGAAGGCCAAGCGCGAGAGGAAGGTCATGTCGGATCTCCAGCGGCTCGTCCAGCGGCATATCGGTGCCGACGTTGGCCCGACTCACGATCCATTCGGCAAAGGTACCGGGGCAGAGGTAGCCGAAGGATAGAGTGCGTGTGTATTTAGCAGCAAGAACTCTTAAGAACAAGAACAAGTAAAACAGGAACTTTCAAGAACAAGAACAATAGTGTATTAATCCTTTATCATCATCTTCTGGAAGAAAATCTACAAATTACTCGAAGAACATATATCGCAGCTAGAAGCTATAACTGTTCGAGATTTTGTATATAAGCTTTATTTTCAGTTTTCTTATGTTCTTAGAGAATAAACTTTTATCCATTTCTGGTCGTCCGATTCCAACGGTCAAATTTAAATCCTGGCCGTCCGATTTCAACGGTCACATTTTCTTCAAACTGAATCAAAATCAGGTTTTGGATCCATTGGTTTCTTATTATCTCCATACGCGCTCCCTTTATCATCCCATTCATCCCAATGGAACTTGCTCCTTCATGGTGAGAGCTGTGGAGAACAACGTTTGAAATTGAGCGAATGGTTTGCTGGATCGTTTCCTTCTTGGATGTTTTTCCCATGACATCTCCGTGGAGCTTTTGCTTGACGAACACTGTGCGATTGGATCGGCTGTGTCGAAGTCCCTAGAGTTCAGGTGCGAGCTGGCTCTCTGGATCCATTGCGTAGTTTTTCTAGAACTTAATGTTGATCACACAGATTTGTTTTGATACAGTGAGGATGGAACGCTCTTGGCTGCCACTACAAGCGGTGGCAAAACCTTTGTGTGGGGACTTGATGGAGGCCATTGTTTGCGCATTCACTCTTCAGGCGATGTTCATGGCCGCAGGTCCATCTAGCGTCAAGAAAAGCTGACAAAACAGTTTCTTTCACTCTCGTGGCTTCCAGGCCATAAGACTGGAACGCACGAGAGCTTCGCACACATCCTTTCTCAGCCTCTGGCATAAAGCTACTGGAGTTGTAACTATTGCTTCCTTTGCTTCTCACACAAGGTAATAACTCATCTCGTGAACAAGCCGGTGATAGTGTTACTTCTAGTCTTGGCAACTTTTTTTGTTTCCCACCAAGCCTTGAAGAAAACAAAAAACTGTTTTTCTGAATCAGCAAAGTTTAAATGCTACAAACACTCAGTATTTGATCTTCCTTCCTAGCTTGCACTTACACCATCAATCGGTGTAGAAAGCTGTGTATGACCAGACAAAACTCCGGAACCACCAGCAACCTCTGTTTTGTAAGATATCTCCGCTCACTTCTTGCCTTGATGACGTTAGAGCCACCTTCTCTCCAACCGATGAAAATCTGCCACCGAAGTTCTATCACTCCCGACGGGGATCATCACGGAGTGTTAAGCCGGCCTTCAAGTTTTGATCCACATGCCTGCGACAACTTGATCCCGTCCACTGCACATCCTGATGCATTTGCATCGAAAGCTGGAACTCAGTGAGGCAGGAGCCCTCTCTTGGTCCTCCCCCACCTCCTCCTGATCACCGAGAGGACGTAGAGGACGAAGAGGAAGAGCAGCGCAAACAGCAGCCCGGCAAGGATTGGAAGAAGCAGCGGGGTTGCCGCCACAGCCGTCGCTTGCAAGTTGAGATCATTGGAGGAAGCCAGCTGAAGATACGCATTGCTGCTGCTGCCGCCACCTTCGCCTTCCAACAGCGAGTTCAGGAAGGCATCACTGCTGCTAATGCCTTCTCCTTCAAATAACTCGATGAAATCACTGGCACTGGCACTGCTGCTGCTCACCCCGACGTCATACACTAAACTCTGAGAGCTCGATATTGGAGTCTCTTCAGCTTCTTGAAACGTTTCGGTGTTGATCCTCTTGGCCTTCCCACCATCCTCGCCCAAGCTTCGAGGGAACCACCGCCACATAAAAGATGGTGGCGATGCTGGTGGTGGTGAAGCATTGCTGCTAGCCTCCTTAGTGTCACCAGTGCCGCCAGCCAGTAACTTCTGAGATGGAAATCCTGTCGCTGCATGGGACTTTAGCACCTGTTCAGTGTCCACCTTGTAGGATGACTCCTCGGCCATTGCTGCTGCAAGTTCTTCACTATTCTTGTATGGAAGCCTCCTGTGCAATCCCACACCATCACCTCGCAAGCTCCGCCAAAAGACTGAAGCTGGTGACGATGAAACATCAGCTTGCCTCAACAACTTTCGAGATCCTGCTGCTGCATGAGGCTTTAGCACCTGTTCAGTGTAGATCTTAGTACAAATACATATCTGATTCCTGTCAACAGAGACATACCTTGTGGGATGACTCCTCGGCCATTGCTGCCACAAGTTCTTGTCCTTCACTATTCTTGTCTGGAGGCCTCCTGTGCTTTCTCACGCTGCTGGTGCCATCGCCTCTCAACCTCTGCCAAAAGACTGAAGCTTGTTCTTCTCCATCTTGTTGTGCGCGCAGTGGAGCTATGAAGCGGAACACAGAAGGTCCATTCTCGTTGGAGACGAAGATAGGAGGACCTGGCGCTGCTTCCAGAAGCATCCGTCGGGAACTGATAACTGGGAATCGATGCCACCCGAGGAAGTTTTTGAGTTCTTCCCATAATTCCTGGGACGTCACCTCGTCCTCCTCCAAGCCCGCGTTCAAAAGCCTACTCCACATTTCTTCTTTTATCGACTGAAGAGTGGTCGGTAGCTTCCAAGTCCACTCTCCAACTAGTTTCTTAAGTTCCTCCACCTCCAGATGCATTTCGGCTCTGGACGGTAGCTGCACGGACGGGAATGTCCAGGTCCGAAAGTAGCTCTGGATATCCTCCCAGCTCAGGTTGTCGTCGTCGTCGTCGATTGCAAGCGTCTTGCCACCGAGAGAAGTATACCAAACTGAATCCACGACCGCCTCTAGCTGCAAGAGAAGGTTGGTGCGTTTCTAAGCAAACCATCTAAGCTCTCGACTTACCTCTTGCGAATCATGGTTGAAATCCTCGAGTACAGGTAATGGTGGTGGATCATACTCGGGAACAGTTGACGCTGCCGCGTGACTACTGGCGATAACTGCCTCGAGCTGTGAGGGTGGTGCTGGCGAGGACGAATCCTCCAGCTCGATTGGAGTAACGGGCTGCAAGAGAAGATTAGCTTCATCTGGAGTTACCTCTTGCAAGTCATGCTCGTCATCCTCTTCGAGTACAGGTGCATCATACTCGGGAACTGGGTCACTGCTGGCGATCACTGCCTCGAGCTGCGCTGGGAAATCCTCCGCTTTCTTGTTCGCTGTTGCGGCAGGAGTCTGCCCACACGCGAAAAATGTCAAGGAACAAGAAAAAAATGACAGAAACGAGCGAGCTGTACACACCTCAAGGAGGAGGACCTTCAATCCTGTTGCCTGTATGCTTGCCTGCCTGCTTGCCTGTGCTGGAGCGCGTCGCAACCAGGAGAACGCCAACGCTAGAGCTTCCATCGCCGCCAATATAATAGGGCAGGGTTACTATGTAAAAAATCTATTTAGAAGATCGTGAGAGACGAGGAATATTATCGAAGGAATATATGTAAAGAGATTTGCTTGGATCTCAAGCAAGTCGCGAATCTGAGGATCATCAGCGGCCTTTTTTCAACCAGCATCCCGCGTTTTGTACTGCTTCTGGAAGCGAACCACCCATCCTTCTGATTTATATCTAAGTTATGAAACCATTTCAACTCGCATCCTCTCAAACGTACCTCACCCTTTAAAAGACATTGCGCAGCGCAGATCGTTCAGCTGTGAGTCTTTGTATCCCCACTTACCCTGTATGACAAGTTAGATTAGATCAAGAATATCACTTTTGAAGTGGCTAGTGAGCATTGGAAACCCGTGTTGCGATTATTGTACACAGTAACTCCAGATAGCCTGCAATAAAGAGAAACACGAAATACTTGACTATAGAAACTTCACTGTGGTGTGGCTGGTGGAAAACCTAGAACAAGTTGCATCCTCTCAAATTCCTCTGCACGAGTGTACTTGGGAAATGGAGGGAGCTACGAAGATTCCTTGCCTTTCCATGCACGAGACCTTGGTAGACGTCGCCATTTGCATAGTAAAACGTATTGCTCTTGCCTTGGACCCAATTTCCGTCGTAGAAGATCGTCCATCGACCTTGAAAATGTAGAATCACGACGAGAAGAGAAGAAGGTCGTTACTTCGTTCATTTCCAGTTGTCCTCCTCCAGAACGTCCTTTATACGAACCACCTTGAAAGCACATCTCCACCGATGGAGGAGTTCGCCCGTTTTCCTGATGAAACTAATAACAAATATATGTAAGAACAAACCAAATGGAAACTTACGCAGCTCGTTGCGACAGAGATTGCTCTGGCCTGTTGCGATTTCTGTCTTGGGTCAACTCGGAGGCCACCCCGTCGATTCCCATCCTTAGAACGCCGGGCAGTCACGGGGGTGCATTTCATCCTTTTGTCTCTCTTGCTCGCAACAATTGGTATTGGGACGTATACACCAGAAACCAGATGGGAATCATGTTGAGGGCTACCTGCGATTCGATCTGAGCAGAACCGAATGATAGCAAATGAATGAAGTAGAGAAACGTATCCTACCGTTTCTGTATCGAGAATTCAGTAGTTCCATCACCTATAAAAGACAATGGCAATTGTCAGAAACGGGAAGCAATGTCGTAACTTACAGTTATCAGTCTCTTGTTAGTAATGTCTCGTCAACCTCACATAACTTGCAAAAAAGCCGAGTCATCTTACCGAGAAGAAGTCATCAGCAGCTTTAAGAGTGGAAGAGCAAACAAGACCGAAACAGTAAAACTGACAGCTTATTAAGAAAGACTTACTTTCGCCAGCGTATGCTGAAGCCTCCTACCAAGCTTTCAAAACTTCATCACCGATATATAAAAGACACTTCGCTTCTAATATTGTGGCTTTGACACTTGTAAATATTTGAGACTTAGAAAATTTTGCACCTCGGCCAGTGCGCACAGCCCTGAGTTTGGCACATACTGCGTCCAAGCCTTGACACAAAGAACAGAAAACACCCTTCAAATGGAAAATTACTCACACAAACATACCAACAAAATCTCAGTTCATGGATTTTCAATAAGTGGTCCTGCCATTTCGATTCCTGAGCAAAGAAATGTTCTGTAAAAGAGAAATACTTTGTTCCCAAAGGGAAAAAAAAAAAAGGAGAGATCTGGTTCTAAACTGTCACAACTCGCAAACTCCACAATGTCACCCGCGATGCTAGCTTGGGATTTTTCTCCTTCTCTTGTCTAGAACCAACCACTCTTCTCTCTAAATACCTTCAAAAGACAGGAACCACGCAATCGCACTCCACTGAGCTGGCTGCAAACACAGCTTTAGCCTTGTCTTTCTTGGGTGCTGCAAGTATAGACGTCCATGCCACTACATCCCTCGCAGGTATTTTGAAAAAGATCTGTTTTGCCTCTCGGAGCTTCATTTTTAGGTGTATCCATGGAACATGATATTACAGAAGACAAAATTTCGATCAAAGCCATGATCAAACATCGCCTTTGCCTAGTCCAGATGCCCGTTTTTACACGGCCGAGAAGCTCACTAGATTCCCTCTTTGTGAATATGACAAGCCCATTTTCCAAAAAAGATGGGTAAATTTTTTAACCCTAAATCCTGTGCAAGCAAACCAAAGACCTAGAGGAAGATTTGGGTAGCTTGATTGATGAGATTTTCACTATGCTTTTCTCATCAGTTATCCATGCTCCATCATCTCAATCTCTAGATTTGCGTATTCCAGAGAACTCGAATTGACGATAAAGGAAGAGCACGAAGAAGGGTTCTTAAGTGCGTCGTGAGCTAGTGACAGAGAGTCAAGTCCAACCCCCTCCTACATCAAGAGCTCCCTCTCTAACAACCCGTCACCCTTTCACGTCGAGGGCGGGTGTGGAAGATGAAGCGGGCTCTCAAGGACGTGTTGCAGCTGGCCATGGATGGAGCTGGCAGAACAAGTCTTGACGAGGCTTGACACTTTGTCGAGATCTGCATGGGCAGAGAAGCCCAGCTAGGCCGTTTCAGCTCCCTCAGCCATGCGACGCAAGATTAAACTCACGGCAAGACAAGGCCCTCTCAGCACACTCTCCTCCTAACTCCTCGTCTTTGAGCATTTCAGCTTCTCAGCCAGCCGCCACAAGACAACAGCTTCTTCAGTCAGCACCTACACCCACAACAAGAAGCTCGCGCCCACAACAATTCATCTCAATGGGAAGACACAAGCTACATCGACCACAAGATCTAGACATGGACCAGCTCAAGAAGTTCTGCTGCAAGTATGGTAACCTCTGCAGTATGGCAAAACAAAAGAAACGAAGAGAAAAGCATTCTTCAAGGATCTCAAGCACTGAGAGAAGGCAGCAGGCCCTACCAAGTATGCCGAACTAACTTCAGCGTCCTTCAAGGATCAAGTCCAAGTAGCTCAACTGTTGGACTTCGCCCCAGTTCCAATTGCGGAGTCAGCCAGCAACACCTTGGATGCTGAGAACTTGGCGTTACCATGATGTGGGCAATGGGAACTGAGTCAAGACCCAAGGCCTCCTAAGCAAGACAATTTCCCCTCCGAAGCAAAGGAAGAAGTCAGAATTACATCAAGAGCCAAAACATGACGAATACCCAAGCAGAGAAAGAAGTCGTCACAGACAGACAAGCAAGAAAGCCACGTGGTCGAACCACTCGACCTCTCAAAGCCGAGCGTCGTCCGTTCAGCACAATCCACCGTAGTCAATGGTCTTAAGCTTCTAAACAAAGGCCCAGTCAATACAAGAATAATGGAAAGCAATGTTGCATAGCCAAGAATAAGTCATCAATTCCAAATCAAGATATACTCTTCGCATCTTGTGCAGCTTGGGAACTGACAAGGTCAAGTGCTCATCAGCGAAGATCACTATTACAATCAAGCAAGACACCAAGCAAAGTGCATGACACCAAGCTCTTCAGAAGTTGTAGACTTCACCTTGCTCTTGGTCTTCCTAGCTTTTCTTAGTTCAATGCTCTTGGCCTCTCCTTGTTCCATAGCTTCTCTTGGCAATAATCTTGGCTGGATCTTGGCTAATTATTGGCTTGAAAGATGAGTTGCTATGTTCTCTCTCTCCCTTTTTTATGTTCTTGGCACTGCTGGCTCGATCAATCGGTGGGGACGAATCTAAGATCACACAAACCCTTGCATGATGCATCCATCAATTTTATGCTTAGACTATCAAAACAGCAGCATATAGATAGATAAATAGATAGAGTAAACATACTGCCAACCTCGTGCATGGATCACGTTCAGTGGTTTCAGAAAAAATGGGTTTGCATGCAAGTTTAGGATTGCTCGCTCGGCTTGCAGCGTGCCAACAATGCTCACATGGAGCCCAGGCCCAAGGTGTGTTTGTGCAAATTGTGTTTCTCAAGGCAGCAAGAGGATTTGGATTTTTCTCACACGCCTTTGGGCCTTGGTCAAAATTTAATCAGACAATTCGGGATGCTTTCTGAACACTGTGGTGCGGAGGCTAGACCTTCGATTATGTCGCGTGTGGGATCAAGCCTGCAAGGCCACGGAGGTCGACATGTTCATCGCCAGAGTCGAGGTGATCGATGACTGTTATGATCCCTATCCCCTCTACACTGTAGAGGGCCCCTATGGTGGCATCACTTACGCCGACCTCCGCTCTGGCGTGGATAGCTTGGATGAGAAAACGCACCGAGATCTCGTGAAAGCAGTACGCGGTAATGTCAAGCGGGACGTCAAGCGGCAGATGCAAATGCCCAAGTTTAGCAATTCGCTGGCGGAGCTCATCCGGAGATCATCGTGGAAACCCAAGTTCACACCGTCCAATGTGATTTTCAAATCCACTCCAGGTGCTAGAGAGTTTAAGGAGCGAATGGCCTGCTGGGCGGAGCAGGAGGGAACTTCAAGGGAAGTGATGCTGCGGTTTGAAGCCCGGGTGGTTGAGGAGCTCGAGGACGACATGCTGTGCAGCAAGCTGCTGCAGGAGAGGCCAGGGGAAATGGATTTCTCGGCGAACAGCTGCTACGAGCCCGACGTGTATAACCAGCTGGTGGAGTGGATCGAGGGAAGGAGTACCATCGCGAGATTGAGATTAAAGATTACAAGGTTTGGGAACCGGATTGCTGCGTGAATCTCTTCAGGTTTGAGGTGGCGTACATTGAGCAGCTGCGGCGGGATTACAAGGCGCGGGAGGGAGCCAGGAGATCGTGGCGAGGAGGTGTGAGCCCATTGATTTGAGGAAGAGAGAGGGATGTTTAGACACATGAGGAGTAGCCGCCGCCAGTTATATGCTGATGGACTTTCTCTACCGGATCAGTAGAGATGATCGGCGATTTGTTGAGCGCATTTTTGGTCAAGAGCAGTTTCGAACACACGCGCTAGAAGCTATAAAATTTCTCGCCTGGAGGTGAAGAAGCACACAAGTAGTGTGTTCCTCCATGCTTGGGAGGGACTGTATAAGTGCTTGTTGCTAGATGACTTGAGCTTGGATTGTGACCTCAAGAATTCATTGCTAATGTGGTGCATGATCACTACGCCTGGGCCGTTGTAAGCAATGACCAATCTCCATTTGAGAAATGTGTCTTGCTGATCCTCTTTCTGGATTTTGCAATTGGAGCAAGAGAAGACACTATACCTGCTGCAGATCATGGCTCAATGGAGCTGGAGCCCGCATTGGAGTCCCATCTCACGAAGCTCTACAAAGATCCCCTGTCAAGTCGATCATCCAAGATCCTTTGTGGATCAAATCACAGGTAACTTCAAACACTCATGAGTTCTTATGGTAGATTTGTTTGTTTCTTTGGCGGGAAGTCCGATGCAGCTTGCCTTTGATCATGTTTTTTGACATGCAGCTTGCCTTTGATCATGTTTTTTGACAGCCAGCGGCACCGAAGGGACGGAGGAAGCGCCCCCTAACACAGTAAACGTAGCGTTGCTCAAGCCAACAAAGTGGTATAAACTCATGGAATGGAGTAATAGGGAGTGGAAGCAGCTCTTGGTCGAGGAAGATGGAGAAAAGCATAGTGATTTTGTTAACGTCAAGCTTGTTTAATCCAAACAAAAATGCATGAAAATCATCTTCATCTCCCTACCTGCTATACTGGAACAAATATTAGATTCTAGTGCTTGTAGTGGAGCACCACTGTCCGCAGCTCCGTGTTGGAGAAGCTACAACACAAAGAGATCCATTGTTCGTCACAAAGCCGATGAAATCTCATTCTACCTGGAACGCTTCCGACACTCGAGTTTTGGCTCGCCATCTCCGTCTTGAGCGCCAACGAGCCTGCTCAGAAAGAAGGAATGGGAGACGACTGCGATCTTCTTCTCCTTGCGAGCAGCCAGCCTGCATGAACTGGACGAGATGAAAATCGAAGCGAGCCATGCATACCATTGGAGCAACGCTCGCCGTCTAGCATCCAGCGACGCTTTCGACTCTGGCAGCGTCGGGCTCCATAGCGAGTCCTCCTCGTCCATGATCTGTGAAGAAAAATGTGGTCTTGGATAGAACACGCGCAAGGCACGAACCTGCGAGAAATCCACTGCCGGAAACTGCTGCTTGCACCTGCTGATGGAGCTCCTCTTGTCACAGGGATAAACACTCTGTGTGATCGATCGGGCATGTCAAGAAGAGGCAAGATCAAGTAGCATTACCGTGTGCTCCCTGCAAAGCTCGAGGGCGATGAAAGGCGGGCAGCCGACGCTAGAAACCGCAGCTCCGGGGCATGCTCCAACACCATCGGCCATGAGCGGGGGGAGCTCCTCGCCAGGCTTGCGCTCGCCACCGCCAAACACACCAGCAGCGGTTTGCAAAGTCCTGGCCGCGATAAATCCCAGATCCCCCATCAGTGTCATAACTGAGACTCTGTGGCACACCTTGTCATGGGCGAAACGACGACGAGGTCGACTCCACCGTGGACGTTTCGCTCCCGGAGCTCCTTTACCTGCAAAGCAAGAAGCATTTCATTCATGGAGACGAAGAAGAAGAAGAAGAACTCTGCCTGTTTCCACCCCGTGGGTGTCAAGCTCGCGTCTTCAATGCCGAAGCAATTCCATCGCTCCAGGAGCTGCCATCGCGGCACCACCATGCGCAGCGCAAGGCTGAATACCGTCCCGGCATAGCCGACGTTGTGGTGGCCTTGCGCATGCCGAACCTTTGGCAAACAGTGAGTAACGAAGCCACACAGGAGATCTTACCAGGTAGAGGATCTTCTTGTCATCGTCCATGGAGTTTGTAAAACCCTAGGCAAGATCATAGACCTAAATTCGTCAACCCGTAAAGGGAAGTTATCTGTATAATGGAGGCTATTCCTCAAAGATATTTTACTGGAGGATTTTGGCAGAGTGTTGGTTTTGGGCAGCATGCGTGCACAGGTGTCTAAACTCATGCTTTTGGCAAGTCCAGTCGAGTGCAACTTTTAGTCAAACAATCTCTCTAGCTCCTCGATGTATAATTGATCTCTATTCGCGTGGAAAGATCCAGCTCTGCTTTATTCTGCACGACAACAACCTCGCTTGCTTCTTGTTTGCGAGTTGGCAGGATTTCAAGGCGATACAGACGGTGTTTATGTGCGATGCAAGCAGTAAGCTTTGAATCCGACGGAAACATTGCCAATGCTGGAATGGCCATAGTGATTGACAAGAGTGACGTGAAACAATACAAGCTTCTCTTATGGGGCTTTCATCATGGAACGTCTTCGACTCGAGCATCCGTCGGTGGATAGCCGATGTGAACAGCCCTTACGTGAACAGCCCAGTTTCTGATGGGGGTGACTGGTATGGGTTGAAATCTAAGCTGGTGGTCAAGTACGACGGCAAGAAGATGAGAAGTACAAGACCATTGTGAAGCTTGGCCGTGCTGTTACTGGGAAGTTTCGAGCACCTACAGAGATCAGGCTTGAGAAGTGGCAGGATGGGTTCACTGTTGCTCGCTATGATCCCACGCTCGGGCTCCTCCGGCTTTAGGAAGTAGTGGAAGGAGATTGCATGCTTGAGAGGAATTGATGATCCACAAGTTTGTGATCCCGAGGTTTATGATCCATGGTTGAGACGAGCTGATAATCCGGAAGTTACTACAACAGTGCAGTTTAGCATCAAGGCTAGGACGTTGCTCAAGCCAACAAAGTGGTACAAACTCATGGAATGGAGTAATGGGGAGTGGAAGCAGCTCTTGGTCGAGGAAGATGGAGAAAAATATACTGATCTTGTCAACGTCCAGCTTGGTACAAAAACGTTTTTTTTTATCTCTAGTCTTCATCGCCTGCTTCTCTTCCTATCGTCGTCCCTGTAAGATCTTTCCCGGTGATGATCTTCTCTTCTTTCGCGCCATTCATCGTCCCTTCGCCTGTGCTCCCTGTCGTCGTCCCTGTGCCTCCTTTTATCCCTGTCCCGATCTCTATCTCTATCATCCTTGCGATCTCTGTCTCGCTCGTCCTTGCGACCTCTATCTCTGTCCGAGGATCGCTCATGTCGATCATGCCGCTCGTCCCTTGAGCTCCGTTGTCTCTCCTCCACCTGGCTCCGAGATCTTGGCGACCTTGAAACATCTTCTCTTTTCTTTGCATTGTCATTCTTGTCCGTCTCGGTCTCATCGAAAACCATCTCGTATCTGCGAGGATGAGTTATTAGAACACTGATGCTGTGAAACCAGGCCAAGACAAACCTCTTTCCTGTGCCCCCACGCTGCCCGTCGGTGACTTTCAACTCATACTTCGGCCTCTGGCTCAAGCCATCAACAGCTGAAAATAACAACACAAGTCAGTTTCAAGTTCCACATAAAAAATGTGTCACACAAGTACCTTGCTTGTCGTCCTGGGCGCCAAACTTGTGGTACCGGTTCCACAGTTTTGACACACTCTGACTGAAGTCCACATGTATTCTTCGGTCATCGATTAATACGTTGTCCATTTTGAAGTATGCAGCTTCGCAGGATTCTCTGGCCTCAAACTCTGCACAAGAGATTAAATTGGAATGCTCTCGGATGCTGGAAAGCGACGTACCAACAAAGCCGTAGCAAAGGCTATCTCCCGTTTTGTGGTCCCGAATAATATCTGCCCTGTCCATTCAATACGTAAGAGAAGCTCAGCCAAAGAAGCGAGAGTACAATCACTTACGAAATGACCTTCCCAAAACGCTGAAATATCACCTCAAGATCTTCATCCTGAAACGTCAAAGGTTAAGGCCAAATGATGCGTACTGATCAAACCAACCTGAGTGGTAGGATTTAATTTGCATACGAAGAGCACATTGTCTGGAGGTCTTACTTCAGCATCCGGAATGTCTCCCACCTACAAACGGTAGCTTGAGCACAACAGGTCGCAAGAATGACAAAAGCAAGCTCACCATTTCCAGGACAACTGCTCGCGTGTGTGCCTCCCGCGACCGAACGTTCTTCTCCACTTCTTCCGCGTCATGCAACTCCTCCAGCGGAACCCAGTCATCCTCCAGCCTCACGTCAATACCCTGAAATCCAGTGTTAGAAACGTAAAACGAGTATTTCGATCTTCGAAAACCTCTTCTGGTTTCAGCTCAGGCGATCCGTCTGGAATCAACTCAGCGAGCTCGGGAGGGTCATCGAAGGGATCATCCAAAATGCTCGTGTGCTTTATGCTGTCAAGAAGGTACTTAGAACCGACGCCCAAGAAGAAGGGAGATACTTACCGTATGTTTTTGTAAGGCCGATGGTTGTCATCGACATAAGCTTCATTTATCCTCGTCAGAGTTTCAAAACCTTCCGCAACCTCCCCAAAAATCTGATTCAAAGTAATAAGCATCAACGAACTCGAAACTAGAAGACGCTTACCGTATGCTTTTCGTCAAGGTAGTCAAGGCCGTCCCGGAGGGTGATATAGAACTAAAAAAGAGGAGAACATGAGACGAAATCTGACACAAAGAGAGAATAAACAAACCTGGGAAGCATTTTGGCCTTCTCCAGCACTAGCCATAGCCACGACCCCGACCTTGTCGTGTTTAAGCCGCTGGTTGATCTCATCCTCGAAGAATCGCGCTTGATCGCCATACAAAAACCTGGAACGCATCATCAAGAGAGGAAAAAAAAAAAAGAAGAACTGAGCTTACTTGTAGATTGAGTCTCCTCCCCGACCAGTTCCCGTGGGATCACCAGTCTGAGCAATGAAATCCTTTTGAACCGAGTGGAAGAGGCAGTTGTTGTAGTATTTGATCCTGAATCAAACAAACCCAACAATGAGAACTTACTTGCGAGGCCGGCAACTTACTTGCAAAGCTTGAGGAAGTTCTTGCACGTAGTTGGGCAGCTCTCGGCGTGAAGATCAATGACTATATCCCCCACGCTCGTGCTGAGAAGCACAGCCATCGCCGCGAAGAACCCTAAATCTCCAGAGGAGGAATATCCTAAAACATATGCCCTTTTTTTGGAGATGTTCCTTTTTCTTGCCGCGAAGAATGCGACCGAGGATTCTTCGGTTTGTGTAGCTTAGATGCAAGCTACACCGCTCTCGAAAATGGATTCTCCAATGGCTAGCAGCCGGATACAGGCAGGGGTGTGGAATCGATGGATAGCCCAGGAATTTCATTTTGGAGGCCACATTGCTCCCCGTTCTTAACATGAGCGACCGCGGCTGAAACTATCTCGGATCAAGCTGGAAATGAGAGGCGACCAGGACGGGTTCTCAACCCCAACAACAACACTCCTGGAACAGCTCATATATGTCAAGTTGGAGGTGAGAGGCAACCAGGACTGGTTCAGCATTCACGTTCTCTCCACACAAAAAGGAGAGCACACTGTTATACTTGGCACTCGAGCTCCAAATTCTAGACATTGTCAACTAGTAGCCACATGACAGGAAATCTTTTTGGGGAGCTCATTTTTCTCTACAGGAAGTTTGTATTTCCTCCTTTGGTTTGAAATCTGGGACATTATGTTTTATATTATAAAGATATATATGGATATACATATCTTATAAATCTTATAAACAATAAAAATAGTGTTGCATGTAACAATGTTTGGTTTGCTTAATAATTATTTATTAATTCAATTGATTAAATGGAAGTTTATAGTTATACACATATTTATAATTTATAAACACAAGATTAATCTTTTTGCATTAGATAGTAGAATAAACTAGAATATACTAGGAAGTGTTTTTAAAAAGTATATAAATACAAGATTAATCTAAATGAATAATAACTGTTAGATGGTAGAATATCATAGAATATCCAAGTGTATTTGAAGTATATTTACAACAGTCTATATTTGCTAAGTAAACCAAAAACATGTCCAAACATAATGTATAATTAAATAACTTTGATTTCTATTTTTATGTAGAATTGTCAAAAATAAATAAACAATATACAACTAAATATCTTTAGTTCATGCATTTAAATATTTACAAACTTTATTTAAAATTCTAAATACTAGTTCTTTTCAACATCTAATCTTCTCTAGTATAAACTGATATAAACTTAGTGTGCAACTAAATATCATAACTTAATGTTCCATGTTTTCTATTTAAGTTGCTATCACACTTTATTACATATTATATTCTAATATCATAGCAAATGGCAAAAATTCAGTGGGCTTGGGCTGTTGGGGCAGTATTGCAATGGTCTATGATGCCTCCAATATCATACTTTGGAACAAATTTATAAGTACATCTTCTGTTTTGTTAGACATTCAATGATGAAAGAATCACCATGAGTCTATGACTTAATAGAAGTTGTTAGTCAATAGAGATTTCAAGGGGTATAACATATGTATTTATCAATAAATATATCATAAATATATTGTTATTGTGGATCTTTGGAACTATAAGGAATAAATGAGGGCTCTATTAATGAGTTTAAGGGGAGAGAGGTAAAGTGTGTTATAAATATCTCCTATCACATAAAGAAGATAGATAGCTCCTAGCACATAACCTTTATAATTCCCTACTTTACACATATTGCCTGTCACTTACTTCTCACTCACTTGCAACACCCTAGCATGGTTATAATATAATAGCATGAATAATATGTATAAGAAAGATTATCCTATCATGAACATTTCCACAAGATCATTTTACACAAATTTAAATGGGAATTGACAATTAAGAAACACCTAAGTCTTTAGAAGTGAGACACCAAGTCTCACTCCCTTCAAAACATTATGAGAAACTCTTTATTCTTATTGCTAAACTATGCTATAGTCTCTCATGATTTGTGTAGAAATGCCCTCCTAATAGTCATGATTGCATGGTGACTTTTGACTTGACCATCTGCCACATGGCATAAATGAAGAATATTCCAGGGGATCTATATCTTGGAGCACACTCGGGAATTGGTGGTAGCTTGTCCAGCTGATTAAACTTGCAAAGCAACAAGCCAGTAACTTGCTCTTGGAAATCTTGAAGCTGAAGCATTGTAAGAGCTAGAGATGCAAAAATGCTTGGTCTCTGCATTGATGAAGAAAGTCTTACTCACTAGTAGTAAACATTTTAAAGTTCAAAAGAGGAACATACCCAATTGCATCAACTTGTTGAGTTGCTTTTTTTAATGTCTCTTTAAGAAAGCTCTCTTTAACTTTCCCATGATTGCCAAAACGCAACTCCAATTTAAAGTGCTCAAGAGCATCTTCAATTGAAGCTTTCCTCACTGCTTCTAAATCTTCCTTTTGTGCAATCAACTTAAACACGCTAGAAAATGGCTTGCTGTCCAAAGTTGCATTGTGGAAGGGTAAAGACAAATCATCCCACTCTGAAGTGATCACACAGGCTATGAGGGCAATGCCTCAAATCACAAGCAAGGGTTATTAATCAATGGCTCCTAATTTGAAACAGCTGATTTAAGGCTCATAAAAGTGGCCATGAATGTGAGCAGCAAAGCAAGAGGAACTTGGCACTAAAGAATACATAGGGAGGAATAGGGGGAAACATAGGTGACTAGAATGGCTTGAGTGGTTACCATTGATGTAGGGAGTAGTGGCGTTGAGGCTGGGGATTGTGATGGTAGGGAGGGAAGTGCTTCAAACTAGATCTCGGTTGCATCAGGGTAAGTGCTTGAAGCAAGGACAAGGGCAGCAATATAGCACTAGAATTCCTAGGCAAAAAGGGCAGGCTGTGGTAGTGATGCTAAGCACCAGACCTATCACTTGAGTAGTCTGAGAGATGTAGTGGGCACTAAGGCTTGTGCACTTTGAGCCATATGGCCACAACCAGGGCTGGATGTGTCAATCACATTTCTTGGAGTAAGGGAACATCATGGAGGATCACTTTGGCTGCCTAGATTGCAATGAAGATGGTGAGGGCAATTGTCTTGGGCGTGGAGGCCTTGTGTGTTATAGATGCCGCAGATAAGTTGGTACTCAACTAGTTGCAAGAATGTGTGGAGTTTGGCAGCTGTTTCAAGATGAAGGGTGGAGTGTGAAGAGGTGTGGATACTCTTCTTCGCTAGATATCTATTGCTAGTGAGAAAACAAAAGGGAAAAGGGCTGATCTCCAGGGGCTGAGATAGAAAGATGTTGTGTATTAATAAGAAAATGATGAATGGAGATGGGGATCCACAAATTGGATTCCCCCCTTTGAAAGGTTGGCAGTTCTAACTGCCAGCATATGCTAATGAATGGTATATGTTGTGCATGATCCAATCTATGGCTCTGATGTAGCCCTAGGTTCAAAGTTAGAGTCCCCTGAGCTTGGGATTTTGGTTGATACACTTTGCTCCCCTGACAGAACTAGACACTATCCTCGGTGTGAATGTAGTCAATTTCCATTGCTTGTTGTTGCTATTGCTCAAGTCAATAGAGGCGACACTTCTACTATAGAAGTGTAAGCTCGTGGTTGGGGACACTGTCTGGTGGATCTGTCCCATCTTCCTGGAGCTCGGCTACCTCGGCCAGGAGGGCAGTATGATCATCCTCAAGCTTCCAATAGCAGGTGTTGAGCTCTTTGTACTTGAATTTGTAGGTGAATTCATGAGCTGCTGATGGGGTTGATGGCTACTTGGAGACGATCTTCCTAATGTCCCAAAGGTTGGTGCAAATCTGCTTCATCTCCTCGAGCTGAGTATCAAGCCGGCGGTTTAAGGGCTCATAGAACTCCTTCTTGATCACTCCCTAGGTATATATGAAGGAGTCTTGCTTGAGAAGATGCCGTGCGATGTCGGCTGGTGTTGGGAAGTGGTTTGCTTACTCGCGGTGCATGCGTTGATTGAGGGCTTCAAACAACTTGCAGGTGCAGTAGCTTGGGTCGCAGAGTTTATCCTCGTACTCCTTCCTGATCTCATCGTAATCACAATGTACCTGACTCTATCGTTGAGGCATGGTTGCTTCTCTTGCTCTTGCTCTGTGATCCTAGTGTTGTTCGCTAGGGTTTGCTGTGTTCTTGGTGGGATTTGAAGTTGCTGGAGGCTTAATCTGCTTCATTGGATGTAGGTGACGTAGTTGGGCCAGATTCTTTGAGGTGGTTGGAGATGAGCTTTTTGGTTTGATGCTGGATGAACGGCCTAGATGTGGTGCTGAAATTAATTTATCTGTTGGGGTTGAACAGCCAAAATCTTCCATTTGGAATTTTGTTGAAGGAGCGGAAGTTTTGTTGATTCTGGTCATGGCATTTGCTTGTTGAATTTGGGTGAATTGTCGTGAGGTGGGTAGATTTCGTGATCTTTCTTGCTATTAGTGCATAGAGAATGGAAAAAGAATTGAAGAATTTGTAAACTTGAAGGGGAATTCAGAGGCCGTGGTCGCCAATGAAGAGGTGTGGATACTCCTCTTCGCTGAATATCAATTGCTAGTGAGAAAACAAAAGGGAAAAAGGCTTGATCTCCAGGGGCTGAGAAAGAAAGATAAATGAATGAATGCTGTGTATTGATTCATTTATAATGATGAATGGAGATAGGGATCCATAATTCAGAATCCCCCATTTGAAAGGCTGGCAGTTTTAACTACCAACATATGCTAATGAGTGGTATATGCATGCATGATCCAATCTATGGCTCCGATGCAGCCTTGGGTTCAAGGTCGAAGTCCTCTGAGCCTAGGGTTTTGGTTAATACAGAGTGCTAAAGGCCATGCAAGACTGAAGGAGGTAGTAAATTCCTAAGGTAGCCATCCTAAAAGAACACTTGCTAGGTTGGAGGTGGGGAAAAAGGCAGCCAAAGAAAATTCATTTAGGTGTAACATTATGGCTTGAAGCTTTGCAATTTTTGTTTGTAAGTCTAGAGCAAGTGGCAAATTTGGAATTGGATTATATCCCAAAGAAGAATAGGAAAATAGCTGCAATAACAGTGGTAGAAAATTATATGCTATGTGTTCTTTTATCTTTTTTGTCTTTGTCTCATCCTGTGAAGCACTTACAATTGTGATCATGCTGTTCTTTAGTCCTGACAGTGTGATGACACTACTTGGTTCAACTCTCCTTGCTTGAACTCTATAGGCTTGGGTAGGCAACATGATTTAGGTAGTGCACCAAAAATAACAACTAGGAAACAAGTCTTTAGAAGTAAAACACCAAGTTTCACTCACTCTAAGACATTGTGAAGAACTCTTTATTTTTATTGTTAATATGATTTGAATACAAGTGCCCTCCCAATGGTTGTAATTATATGATTTAACCATCCACCATATGGCATATATGAAAAATATTCCAAAGGAACCCACTGATTCCAAGTTGGAACAACTTCCCACTACCATAAAATTTCCAAAACTACTCCTACCAAAAGGTTAGGATGGATCTTTTCTAATATAGACACAAGGTGATTGTGGTTTGCCAGTGTAAAGATAACCAATTGGGCTATTGTATTGCTAGAGTTGGAAGAAGTTGAAGAAGTGAGCCTCAATGGAAGTTGATTGGATGAGATATCTTTTTACCTTAGTTTTGCCATTTAGATATTTCAGTTTTAGATGAAATTGTAGACTATTTTATCCTTATTTATCCACTAAGATGTCCTAATTTTAGATCCAAGGATGTTATAATGCATCTTCATTAATGTTGTAGGCTATTTTATCTCTATTTATCTCCAAAAATCCACATTAATAGTATATCAAAATCTTATCTCATAATCATATATGCACTAAGACCAATAAAAATGATAGGATATTTTAATATTGACTATCAAAATGAAGAAGCAAAAAAATAATGGAGAAAGAAGAATACATAGATATAATATATACAAAAGTAGGAATAGCACCAACATATTGGACAGATCATAACAAATTATATATTATGATAAAAAAATTGTTTTTAAAAGTAAGCCAAGTGTTGTTACACAGCAATTTATTTTTAAAATTATAGATTATTTTTTAGTTGAAAAATCATGATTTGAGTGGAAGTCAAATAACACATTTAATCCAAAACCTGTAAAAGAACTTATTTTTAGAAAGAATGGAGAGAAAGAAAAACCTTTGAACTCATAAGCTAAGTAAAAAAAATTAAAGAAAATACTAACTAGAATTACTAGCTAAATTTGCAACAACATAAAGTATATTAAGTGCTGTTTCTGGAGCAGCAGTTGAGGTCAAAGCATTTGACATCCCCAACCCTCCATTCTTGACAGGATTGCCAGCCCCCACAGTCCCACCCCATCACTTATGCTACCAAGCTTGATTGAATCCATAGCTTCTTACTTATCTGAAATTGTTAAAATTTTCAAAATCATCAACTAGCAGAGCGTCAAAATTGCAAAAATCATCAACAAGGAAGAAGAAGATTTGATCGAGCTCGGTAGCACAAAATGATGGAGCAGGACTGGGGGCTAGAAATCCTATTGGGAGCAGAGGCTGCAGGGATGTCAAAGGCTTTGATCCTGACTTGTGCTCTACTAGTTAATGTAGCAAACTCTGAATCTTGACTTCTTTCCCAAGGTCCATCCATGGATTTGACAGGAATAGCTTGGATGTGGGCTGAAGCAACAACCCTGTAGCAGAAAATGGGAGCGGGCGGGTAAGAAAGTCTCTCACCTTCAATTGGTGCACAATTGCAAGGAAGATTGTACACAGACCTCCATTCTTGCTCATCATGTGTCAGACCATTGGGGCTGCACTTTGACTAAGTAGAATAGAACACATCTCTCGCCCTTCCTCCCTCATGTACACTACTGGTCAGTTAAATAATACAAACAGCCTCAAGAAGATGATTTTGCTTGTTATGATTCATAACTTCCATTCCAGGATCACCAAGAAGCACGTTTTCATGGAGTTCCCGCATAATGCATGTAGCATCAAGAGAAAATTAAAAAAATTAAAAAATAAAAAATAAAAAGGTAAGCTGCTTACTTATAGAGATTGAATCTCCTCCACTACCAAGTATTCTAAGAAATGAAATACTTTTGTGGAAGAGGCAGCTGTAGTACTTTGGAGACAATGTCGCCAGACCGGCAACTTCCTTGCAAAGCTAAATTTCTTGCACGTAATTGCAGCTCTCGGTATGATCACAGCCATAAATCCCCAGAGGACGAATATCCCCATCGAACTTTTTACTGATTCTAGTCAACGCATATAGTACCACCCGTTGACTCTTGTAGGACGGGTGCCAAAAGTTCGTCGCAAGTCGCCCGATCGAGAAACGATGGAGAGCGCGTTCTAAAAAATACTCAAGCACAGCATCTACGCACAAAGAAGGAAAGGTAAACTAGAAAAACCAAAAACTAGAAAAGATCTCATGTACCATTTCGGAGTTCACCAGCGATAATCACCAGCGTTTTGCTGTCGCAGAGCTTTTCCAGAGTGTCGAGAAGATCTTGGACAGCTTTCTCGTTGTAAATCACATCCGACGCAATCACTGGCAAAAGAAGGAGAGATTTCCAACAAAAAGAGAAAGCAAAAGGAATCTGAAGAATCACCATAATCTGGAGATGGATCGATGACCTCGTTGTCTATTTCATCTCCCCACGAAAGCTCTCTCACACAAGCGGAGCCTCTAGCAGCAAAGCAGCTCACGTTCTCGTCCACATTTTTCTGGAGAAGTCTTAAGCGATCCGGCAAGTCCGTGAGAATGACTCTGGCACCGAGAAGCGCTGCAACACATCTGATATACATAAAACCATGAGATGAAATTCACCCAAGAACAAATCTAAAGTTACCCGGCAAGGCCGCATCCAGCTCCGAGCTCCACGCATTTCTTCCCTTGGAGCTCGAGCGTCCCGCTATCCACAGCGTGCTCTAGAAATTTCGTGAGGATCACGGCCGAATCCCACACCACCGCGCCTGTCACACCTGGTTTTTGCTACGATTACAAAGAAATCTTCTTAGCTCCCAAATTACTCACAGATCTCCAGCTTACCATCGAAGACGGTGCCTGATGGATCAGAATATCATAGCCAGCGGCAGAGATCGTGAAGCGGAGCGATTCTTGCTGGACAAACGCATTGTGCCGTGCAGCGGTCGGCTGCTGGAAGCACCACAGCAAGAGCGTCTCCTCCGGCGCATTCCTCACGGCGAAGAGGGGCACTCGATCCAGATTCTCGAAGCAAACCTCTTCCTGGCCATCGCCATCGCCATCGCGCTCCATCCTAAAACCCTAAGGGCATTTTGGCGGGCAACGCATATTCGCCTAAAGAAATATGCCCTTTTTGTCGCTCGCGGTGTCGATATGCTGTAAGAAAGAAGGGGAGAGAGAAAGAGCTATGGTGGCAATCCCTTGGTTTTTTTTCTTCTATTCTCTTCCTTTTTCTTGTTAGGGTTTGCCACTCGTCCTAGGGCTCGCGCCGCGTGGGCGGCGCCACGAGGAAGACGAAGACTCGTCCACCGCGAAGAATGCGACCGAGGATTCCTCGATCTTTGTCCCGGTTTGTGTAGATTAGATGCAAGGATGCGCTGCGCCGCTCTCGGCAATGAATTCCATGCCGCCATCGGCTGCTGCTGGCAGCCGGATAGAGGCGGCGGTGTGGAATCGCCGGGTAGTCGTCCAAAATCGGGCGCATTGGAGGCGAAATATCTCACAGCGGTGGAGATTTCTAGAGAAGGATTGTGTTCTTGGGGCTAGGAAGTGGGTGAATGGAGGGAGCTGGACAGGAGGAAGAAATGGGAGGATGGAATCGATGTTTCGATGTCGATTCCAAGGGAGGACGACCCAGCGTACGGCGAATAAGAAAGGAAAGCTTCTGGATAGTGACGAGCCAATCTCGCTTCCAGTGGCACTCCTCTCGGTTCCACTGGGACTCGAGGCTGGTTCGTGGATTACGTCCGAGGTGGTCTCCAGCTACATGTGGTTCAAAGTGGTTCTCCGGCACGTCTTTCCACTCGCCATGACCATGGGAGCTCTCGAAAACTCTTCCGAGCTTCTGGAGCTTTCGTTGGATTCATCCCTTGGCCGAATGGTGCTGTGGAAGAAGCGTCAGAGCATCAAAGCTAGACAGAGGAGGAGGTCCTACGGTGCAGCCGCGGAGCCTGTTCCAGCCGAGAAGAAGATTGCCGGTTACTTGCCCGTCATGTCCAGTGCTTCCTCGTACGTCTGGTGTCCGCCGTCGCAGCAGCTCTTACTTCCAGCTCCACCGACATGGTCACTTCTAGTGGCCATCGAGTCTCTGTCCAGCGAGCTCGACTGCTACGTCTCTCGTTTCAAGTCCGGCATGAAAGCTCCGGACTGGTGGGATGCCATGGGTGAAACTTACGGAGTTTCGTTACTCGTGCTCGTCGGCATGGGTTACTGGGTGCAAGGATTTCGATGCTTCCCTTGGCTGGGGATGAACTATTACTTCAAGGACGGACTCCAGCTCGACCCGCTAACTCTCCAGTTTCTACAAAATACCGTCAACCTCCCGTATCTCGCCAAGCCAATCTACGGCATTATCTCTGACTCGGTCTACATTCACGGTGCTCATCGTGTGCCTTACATTATAATTGCAGGTATGTTGCTATCTTGCTAGCTTTGATATATTTTGCTTTCGGATAGATTTCTTACGATCTTGTTTTGCAGGAATATGTCAAGTGATGTCATGGGGAACAATCATAGCAGTGCCAGGGGCTAGAAGGTCTGCCGGAATGCTCACAGCGTTTTTAACGTTTGGCAACTTCGGTGCTGCGGTAGCGGATGTAGCCAACGACGCTCTCGTTGCCGAAGCTGGGAAGAAGAAAGGCTGCACTGGTGGACAGCTCCAGTCTTTCGCGTGGCTAGCTTCAGCAGCGGGTGGTCTCCTGGGGAACCTCTTGTCCGGCCTTGCTCTCAGCGGCATGAACTTCGAGAGCATGTTCACGATCTTCGTCATGTTCCTCGTGTGCCATCTCGCCATCGCCTTCATGGTTAGCGAGCAATCCTTCGGGCAGCGGAAGAGAGACGCCGGCAAAGGCAAGATGGTCGCCTTCCCAGGAGGACCAAAGCTCGGGAATCTCATGAAGGGAGCAAAGGCCCGGGAGATGCAAGTTAAAGCTTACAGGAGCAACAAAGAGCTGCTCAAGAGCCAGGACGAGGACAAGATAACCGAGAGCCGCGAGCCAAAGGCCATCGACATCCCCAGGCAGGTATCAAAACTCTTCGGCCTCATCAAGTCGCCCGAGATCCTCCTGCCGCTGCTTTGGTTCATGGGATCCTACGCAGTCATCCCGACGCTCTCGGGGACCATCTTCTACTATCAGTCACAGGCGCTCAAGATCAACCCGGTCTACCTCGGCGTGGCCAAGATGCTGGGCCAGGCGGGGCTCCTCGCCGGAAGCATGCTCTACGAGAGATACTTGAAGCCGGTTCCATTGCGAAGGCTGGTCGGCTGCGTCCAAATCCTCCTCTCGGTGTGCATGCTAGCGGACATCGGGCTCGTCAACCGGATCAATCTCCAGCTTGGCATCCCGGACCATTTCTACATTCTTGGGGCCTCGGCGTTCGTGGAAGCCATCGGCCAGTTCAAGATACTACCATTCATGGTTTTTTTCGCAAAGCTTTGCCCGGCGGGGTGCGAGGGATCGCTGCTGGCCTTCTTCATGTCGTGCCAGTGCCTGTCGTGCATCGTGAGCGGCTATCTTGGGGTGGCCCTGGCATCGTTCCTGGCGATCAGTGCCAGCGATTTCACCCAGCTGGGGGTTGGGATTGTGGTGCAAGCGCTGGCGGCGCTGGTGCCACTGCTGGGATTAAGTTTGCTGCCGGGTGGAGAGATGGAAGACGAGGAAGAAGAAGAACAAGAGAAAGGTGCTGCTAAAGTAGAGAAGGTTATGTGAGAAATTTTGCATTGTTGTAATATAATCACCGGGTCTTTATCCATGTCGAGGAAGTCCAATCGGAGCAAAGGCCGGACATATTGCGATATGCGAATAGTATAGCGAAGTTTGCATAGTTCATGAATCCAGCTTCTTCCCGAAAACCTGATCTCAGAAATTCCACGATACTCGTAGTAATGTCGGACCTAGGGTTTAAATAATAAAACTTAACAGAATATGCTAACAGAATATCTTCAGACATTGTTAGTTTGACCAAAGCATACAATGTATATGATTGGCAATGAAAAATTTCTTCATGTCAATCAACTTGGTAAAGTTAGCTTCACCAATGTAAAGATTTTATTTTCTTCTACACTAATATATAGACCACCTATCTATTTACCATCTCAGAAGTTCAAAGGTTGCTTTTTCAGTTGTAATGGCATCCCAAGTTGCGCTTGTTTTGGCCCTCATTGTTGCTCTCTTTGCTTCTTATGCATCTGCAAACTTGGTAAGTAAAGTCTAAATTGTAATAGATTCTAAATCTTCTATTCCAGTGCAAGAGCTACACCATCCAAGGTTCCGCCCAGTTTGTTCTTGGCCAAAACGAGTTCCAAGTTGTTCCAACCGATGGTGCCATGGATCGTGATGGGTCCGTCCAAACATTTGCTGCTCCTCTTAGTGGAAACTCGGGATGCATCTACCAAGGTGTGATTGCCGACACTGGAGCTCTGGATTTCCAGGTTTCCCAGCTCAAGTGTGGGAACAACCGGGTGGAGTTCATGGGTGATGCTGGAGCTTCTGCACCTGGTTCTTCCACCACATATGCGATTGTTGGCGGCACTGGCATTTATGTTGGAGCGATTGGAACAGTGACTGAGGTTTCACTAGGTGGCATGAACTATCAGGTCACCGCAAACATCAAGGTTTGCGACCAGTAAATTATCTTCAAGATGATTATAACTTCTAACAACAACATAATAACATAAATCATAATTTTAAAGTGCGCTTTGCTCATCAAGATGAAAAAAAATAGCCGAGAGGGTTGAAATCTTGGAGCTAAGAATTTACTTGGTACTCAAACACCTCTTGAACACAAAAGCTCATCTAGTTTAACTGTTCATAAATAACAACGTTAACAATAGTACGTTTACATTCACAGCTTGCCAATTCGATTTCCTCCAGTTCTGATAATTTTCTTCCGGATAAATCTCTGTCCTGAGGAGGAATGCCAGTCCACTCCATCACTTTCAACAAGCTCGCTTGCAACAGCCATAAAATGGTCTTCAAGGAGAAAAGCACCAGACCGAATGGCAGTGGTACTGGTACCGCGAACGGATTTACCTTCAAGAGCAACGAGCGTGCCCAGAAGAGAAAAGAGGTGAAGCTTGTTTGCTAGTTGCTAGCTTTTTCTATGGAGTGGTGTTCATCAGTTCCAACCCGGCAACTTCCGTATTATGAAAGTGTTCACAGTTTCTTCAACTGGTGATTCAAGCCAGATGGTCCGGTTCACTGGAATTGGATGTTGCAAGTCGTCCAGCTTTTCGACTTCGACCACCTCCCCAAATTTGATAGTCCGACCTTCTATGACCACCTCTCCAAAGTTGAAACTCCGACCCCCGTTGAAACCTGGAGAAAGCGTTCTCCACAGGTCTGAGACTTGAACTCGTGCCAGAAGATGTGGCCCTTGTATGCATTCACTCCATGGCTCTCCTTGAAGCTCAAGAACACCCTAGAAGCTTTGAGCGTCTTTGCCGCTGCCTCAACGAGGTATAACATGCTCACTCAGTGGTGCACCATGCTGTGAGAGTGGTCACTGTCCGTAATCTGCTTTCCTGCTGCTTCTACTGTCTGAACAGAATTCAAGCTAGCGACCAGGGAATCCAGATCAAAGTGCCCCCCATTTCTCCTTCACCACATTGAGTGGTCAAACTCATTTTTGCTTCATCCAGCTTCATTCTGGCACTCACCCATGAATTGAATAGGATCAAATACTTCCTGCCAAGCTAGAGCAATCTCGGCAGCAGACCAAACCGGTAGAAACACCTGTGGAGTGCGGGCATCCTTATAAAACTCCTGAAAGTCTATCAACTTTGGGCTGGATATCAATAGAACTTGCTGCTGCCAAGAGCGAACCATCTGTCGATACATGACATCTTCTCAGCGTGCTGCGGTTCAAAGAGATGACCACTCTTGCTCTGAAAAGCCACCACCTTCCTGTCCTTAGTAGAGTTGTAATGAGAAAGGCGTGCTGTTGCCAATCCCAGGCACCCCCCACAGCAAAACCGACTTGCACCTTTCCCCATCGCCACGAGCTTCTTACGGAGCTCAGTGTAGCACGGCCGCTCCAAAATCCGAGTAGTACCACTTGCACACAAAAGAGCCTCCCGAGCAATCTGA